TCCACTGGGTTCGTAGAACATGGCCACTGATGTGCACCTTGCAAAGATCCAAATTAAAGGCAGCGGCTCGGTAGAATGACAACATTGGGATATTCATCGTTCTGGGTTCCCCTGGACGAACTAAGTCCAAAATTGTGCTTTGCAGCTTTGAAAGATTAACAACTTGCTTTTCCAGACGTGAAATGTGATATTGGGCAGATGCGTATCCTGTTCTCTAGAGCGCGATTGGCTTGTGAGTGGAAATACCGTACCTACCGTACCCAAAATCCAATCGTGCTCGAGGACAGGCATACGCCGTCCGCCCAAATAGCACTTTTACTTCTGGAAAAGCGGGTTATTGATATCTTTTGAAGCTGCAAAGCATGATCTTGGACTTAGCTCATGCAGAGGAACCGAGAACGATGAATATCCATATTTGTCATTCTGCCGAGCCCTGCCTTCAAAGGCCGTGTCCGGGCTAAATCTGGCCCTCCTTGGTAGTGCCGATCTGTGTGATGTATGAATGATGTAGGACCTAAGAGAGGGGCATCTGGTTGATCCAGTCATCTAATGTTGTTTCTGAATGGAGATAATGGGCCTGGAACATCCAAAGTGCTATCAAGATCCGCCAAGGTCCTATCAAGCTCCGCCCACCATGTGCTGAAAGCCGTCCGCGCCATCAGAAGAGGGTCCCCAGGAATCGGGTTTTTTGGGGGTTTTGAACATTTTGGACTCATATGTGTAATCAGGCCACAGAAAGATCTCAGAATGACAAAAACATGGGAAGTGAATTTGGGTGGACGCTGCCTTTAAGTCATGCGCAGGTATTACCCACCGCAGCTAGCGCTAAGGATGGCCATTTGCAGATGACAGGAGCATTCAGAACGGTTAGATCTTCCGTCTCATCTAAGCCAACCACTCCTATCAGAAATTCTAATGTAAAGAATTTGCAAATGAAAAGTATAGATTAGGTTCGGTATTCGGGAACTCTCCATAATGTGATTATAATCCTCGATAAGCTCTACAAAAATGTTAACGAGACTTTGAAAGGATAACTCTATGAAAAAACGCTAAACATTAAACGCTTCTTTATGGAAACTATTCTCAAAACATTTTTGAAAAGCTCTTGGAAAGCTCTATCACATTTTTCAACGCGCAACAACATTATATTGAACAATTATGTATGTTGTGTCCAGCTGTCAGCTGTTCAGACAAACGAGCTCGGTGGAAAAAAAGGGAATGAAAAATTGCGTTCCAAAAAGCTGGCATCTAGTATGCACCATAAAATATACAAAATTTGGTATTTGATCATGTATATCATAGGGGCTACAGGCGACCGTCAATTGTTGCCTAGACTGGAGTAGATTCAATCAATGCAAAATCGACTAGAACCCAACTACGAGGCATAAGAAAAACGACAGAACATAGACATATTCGCTTTCAAGACAAAGCAATCTTCTTAAGATTCTAACATTGAGAGGATTACTAAGCGGGAAGCAAATGAAATGAAAGAACAGTCCAGCGATGAATCGACTAGGTAGGTAGTAAGATCGGATCAGATCAACTCTGCATTGCAGGGAACAATGGCGATGGCGATCTTCAAGGCGATGTATGCATCAGAGAAACTAACATATTTATTAATGAAGAAATACATGCAAGACGATCAGCTCAAAACCTGCGGTGTTATGCCATAAATTGCTTTCAAAATTGCTATTGCTATAGCTTGATCAGTGCTATGTTCATGCAGTGTGATCTAAATGTTAAAACCAATCTATGTTCCTTGCTTAGCAAACAACAAAAATTAAGAGTTTGAGATGTTGTCGCTCCTTAGCACTTGGAAAAGTTCTAGGGCACGTTCAGCGTAACAAGTAAGTCTAACAGTCGTATAAAAGAGATGTTGTTGAGGAGAAACTGAATTATCTGGTATCAGTAATTCAAAACATTAGTGATCATCATTCAAATTTAGGTCTGTACATTTCCACTGCACATAGCAAAGACAAATTTGGATTCAGCATTCATTGTTTTAGGAGAAAGAAAAACTATATGGAAAGGCCACTTCGAGTAAGTCCACCTCCCTTGTGAAGATCGCAAGGACAGTAAATCGAGACTCGTGTATCATCTTACGTCTGGAATATGATAAGCTACTCTCTTGAACAAGATGGCAGTAACCAAGTAGGATTCAAGAGCTATGTGTAAGAGGGGCATGAATTTTTAGTTCAAACTATAATCGTGTTAATACTTGATTGCTCATCCGACAGGATCCTAACCTTGAATGGGAGGTTTATCGGTCAAATACGAACGGGATTTTTGGAAGAGCGGAATGATCTTTGTTTCTGACCAAATTTTTCCAAAAAGAATTTTTTAAATGATCATACTAAAGTTTATATTCTTAACACGCTACCCTAGAGCTGTATCACGAGTTTCTTCAGCCTAACCCATGAATGACTCAATTAGCCACGCTTCTTCCTGATGGAGGAATGGTGTATATACTGTAATCACCTCCTTCCACAAATTTGAAGTGAATATGTATGGAAGCTGTTCTCCGACTTGGCCTTCAGAAAGTGTTAAGGTTTCGGAATCCAAATTGCTGCTAACACTGATAGAAAGAGGAACTGAGGATTGCTCCGAGATTTCGGGCTCTACAGTCATCATATTCATAGATGTTTCCTGTCTAGGCAGGTTTCATATCTCAAGCAGATATCGTAAGTTCGAGCGACTTTTCTAAGCAGGAACTTTCTATTGTATATTCTGCGTGCTGGAAAATATCAATTACTGCCTCCCCCCTACCCCTCAACTTTCTTTTTCTTTCCTTGTCACCCCTCAAGACATATTCAACTTGACTCATAATACTTTTAGACTTCAATTACTTGGATTGCCTATACAACTGGGTGTTTTCTTGTTTACCGCCCAGTGAGCCACATTGCTCGCAACAATCCATCTTAGAGGGTTGAATTTCTAACGCTGAAAATTGACAGATTCTGCTGAAGCACGGAAGATTCAATTTTTTTAACTCTAGCGATACACCAGCATGAATGCATTATATACCGATTGCTCAGCACTTTAACTTGTAACTGAGTTATCTGCATCGTCAGAAGTTGACAGTTTAATCCACGCCAAGAAAAAGCAGGTTCCTGAACACATGTAGTGCGAATTTGAGATAATAACGAGATCTAAATTATGGTGGATTTAGATCCAACTTCTTTATGGCAAGAATTACTCATCGTACCTAAAGCTTTATCTTGATTACATGGAAAATCCGATCTCGTGTGCAAAGCAAAAACAAAACAACCCATGCTGCGCCAGCATCCATGTTAAGATCGATGTCTTGCCTCGTGCCGATAAGCCAATACACAGCTTCGTGCTGGAAAAATCGTCTTCACTTTGCCCCGAAGCACATTTGACACCATTGTCATTGGCGCAACATCTGCTGGTGTACATCTCATTACGAGTCAGGGCAACTTGCGAATCAGTTAGCTTCCGCTGTCTCCGTCTATCGCCCTCACATCGTTTTCTGATCGAGCTACTCATTCGGAATGCTGCAGCAATGAAGATTCACTAGGGCGTGTTCGATACTTGACATCAATTTCGCCGTGCCATTGTGTATACCCTTATGGCACAAAAATAGCGAACCCAGTGAGCCCCATCCTACATCCACACACTCCACACGATGAAAAACAACATAATTGAGTTTAGTCCCATCTGCTTATGCTGTCATTCACTCAATTTGTTGCGACACTACACCTCGCAAGTTCTCAGGCTCACACCGCATCTGTCATTTATCTTCGCGCCTCTCTGGCAACTGCTAAATTACGCTTGTAGTTGATTAGCTACAGTATTTTACACGCTACACAGTAACATTCTCCTCAAAGCAGAGGAAAATAATGTTGCTGGCCATTCGGCTATCATCTGGTTTGATGAGGCTATTTCGACAAGCTTTCAACATGAAATGGTTGCGTGAGTGGCTTAGGCACGTCGTTGAAAACATTTTCAGACTGCGCAGACCCCTTTCTGGAGTAATTTCATTTTCTCCCTCATTCAGTGGTTGTGATTATCAGTATCAGTTATCCACAAACGATTCATTCGCTTGCAAATCACACAAATCAATGATTTTGATAGGACACTGTAGCATTTGATTAGATTCTGAACACATTTGCTTTTTTCAAAATACTCTCAACTTTCTGCACAAGCGCTGCTGTTTTCCTGCTTGTGCACATTACTCACGTAGCGAGTATTCTGTAATTAGCATTATTGTGTAGAAAAAAAAACAAAATATCAGTAGTTAGTCGTGTTTCATACATTCTCACTTCGTTTTGTGCCCCAGAAGAATCCTCCATAATTATTCATGTATTTGGCAGTGCCAGTCTGAATAAACGCGTTAACTTTCCGAAACTAATGTAGGATAGGTTACAGTTTGCTTACATCATTTCCGCTGTCACTTTCTTCCTCACACTGCCATGAAGTATAAGACAAAAAGAGAATGCCATTATTGAAGTTGTCGGCTAGTGGATATGGACGCTTGTTTTGACTGGATCAATTGTTACATTCTACAGGAAAGTGGAATTTGTGAAAGCGAAGCCTGTCATAATTTAGATTGGCCAACAAAATTTTTTTCGTTTGCGTTTGCATGGTTCTAACCAGGTGTGAGGAACGATCATTCAAATATTTCTATACTTCTCAGGAGACTGCACAACAATTTGTATAAATGGCATAACTTTATTCATGTTTTACCTCTTGTTTCATTGCTTTCACGAAACTCCTTTCCCGCTGTTATGACTTGAATTTTTTTCTGTTTGTCATTCTTTTCCTTGAAATATTGTGCTATCAATTCCTCACTAATGGCTCACAGCTACTGTCGAATTTTTGTTCAAGGGCTTTGGGTGGAAGAGCTCAAATGGTTGTTTTTAGGTCTCGTTACCTTTTGAAGGTCATTTCATTAGCCCCTGCATGTGGCTCCTCAGTTTCTCTTATTATCACAGGCCAAAAATATCTTCTTGATCGCTTATATTATTCATCTCTTTTCAGCTCGTCACCGATGCCAATAGCTGATGTCTGAGAGGTTGGCGCAGAGCACATCACTGCGAAATTCGGACGCGAAAAATGTGTATGTGTTTGGTTACTGTTTCAGTGTGTAAGATCCGTTTCTAAGTATCAAAGGAAAATGTCGCGCCTTCCATTCAAGTGCAAACCTTGCACAAACCTTGCTTGCTAAGTGAGATCTAATTTCTTTCCACGTAATTAGTTTATTGACTGAGATTGCCTTAATCAATTCCACTCCTTCCCTTCAGAAAACACAAAGAATCTATTCAAAAAAAATTTTGTATGTTTATTTGCACGAAGAATAGGCTGGACGAAATAGTGAAATAGGAAGAAAAAATTGTGAAAGCGTAGCTTCCCATTTTTCAGCTACCATTTCTTTAAAATGTGGCCGCAAGCTCCACATAATGCATGTAAGTATGCATGTCTGTTATGATTGTATACAAAACCATTCAGGGGATAGTCCGAAGTGTTTGGGGTAACACTTAGAGAGATTTTGCAGGTAGTTCCCGAACTTACTTATGGTTTAGTAGATGTTTTGTATCATTTTGCAAGACTCATTATGTACAATTTGTAAAGGTACATACGTGCGAGGTCAAGCATGTAAGCAGACTTTCTAGACATGACAGTTTGTTTATTTGAGTAACCGAAGGCTACCTTGTTACTTTGATATCTTTTACAGAGAATCAGTACGAGAGCGTGAGTACTTCAACGTATTGCATAATTATCGAAATGATGTCTATGCGGTCTGCGGTGGTAGAATTCATGTAGCGGTAAGTACTAACCATTATAAAGTTCAAACTTCTACTTAAAAACTAGCTAAATGCGTGATTCCTGTTCCACTTGTATCTTAGCAAGCATGTAATGTAAAGAGGGCAGTATGTCATTGCTTACAATGTAAAATTTCTTCAGTTTGCATCAAGCAGTTTATGCTTGCATGAGCAGTATATAGTTCTCAATTACTACCCTTGCCCCCGTTTCTTTCGTACCTCGACAGCAGCGTTTTGTGGAAAGGAAAAGAATAAAGTTCATCACTCCGGAGACGAAGCAATGTTTTTTGGCCGAGGGGACTAATTTGGGGACAGAAAAAATGGAATTACCATGTCAACTTTCACTCTAATCATAAAGTATGCAGTGATCTCTATGTTTAATACATGTAAGCAGGGCTCAATTTGCTCTAAGCTTCATTCATGAACGATGAAGACGTAGGCGTTTGAAGAAAGAGAAACATTCAAATAATAAGTTTTCAAACTCCAATCTTTTCAGCTACTTACAAAGATTATTAGTGTTGGTGTGCTTCCAATGTATGTACTGATTTTGCTGTTTATGGTGTATTTTGGTAATGCTACAGCAATAATGTTTGCTCTCATTATATTAGGCTAGTCAATTTTCATTATTTACTCATAAGGCCAAGAAAAAATTATTGTTTAGGATCCGTTGCAATTACGACAGTCTATGGGGCTTTCAAAGGATGCAAGATGTGCCTTGTGCCTTTTATTTTCTTGCAGGTATGACGGAAGTAAATTACTGTTTAGTTTATGGTGAAGTTCTTCGAATGTGAAAGCTGTAAATACATGTGCTCCTGAACTTCTTTTCAGGTTGTGTTTTTCATTTACGATCTTGTTCTTCTTGGTTTGTTCACTATAGCTTTGCTACAATCGGACAGTTTTGCATTGCAGTCGTATGCTGTCTACGGATCGGACTCGATCTCACCCAACACTAGTAAGTGCTCACTTTGATTTTGTACACAACTTTTACTTGCTTTGTTTAGTTCTACTAATCACATCCTTAGTATTACTGTCTGCTCTACCACCAGCAGCGTGGATTGCTTATATCGCATACTTGGACATTTTGTTCATTGCTGAAGTCGATCGTGGCTTGGAACTAATACGAGAGCTCAATGGCAACGCTACGAATGAAGATTTGACGATAAAAAACAATTATTGAGATCGTGATTTCAATCGTCAAAATTTTGCTCATATTCCTCTCACTTCACATCTGAAAGACGAATTTTGGACTGTTAGCCCTTTTCACTTTAGACAGTGCTCCGGTTTTTTCTTGAATGAAGTCATTACAAATATGGAAGCATAGAAAGATCGGCGAGGGATGAGCATCAGAAATAAGGCATGTCTTATTGATTACACAATTTTATCATAGAGTAGCTCTTATATTAGGTTAGAAAAAAAGTTCTTGGACATTTTCAGACTAGAACTGCTATTTCTCGAAACCTAATGCATGTACATCCGAAAGAGATACCATTCAATAGCGCAAAGCAAGCTCTACAAGATGGTTTGCGAAATTTTGCACCACCTTCGATCCACCGTAAGTTTGCATCCAAAATCTGAGTCGTACTGAGCTCGAAAATGTGGAAAAAATCATATCTTCGTTTAAAAAAATTCTACGGATTCTCCAACTTGCTCACGCAAATTGCACACCACATCAGACACTCAAATGTACCGTTCCTGTATTTCTTCCTCATCTAAGAATTAAGAAAACAAGGATTTTCATGCTTGTACAAAAAGGAAGCTACGCTGCCACTCGTGTAACTGCATAGTACACCCCCTTGGAAGTATAAATGTAAATTTCTAGCTTTCTACAGGCTCTAGTTTTCAGAAATTACAGAGTTGAGTTCTTCTCCCTCGGGTGTCCCTGCTAAAATCAATATCTTCAAAAACTAGGGCTTGCGGAAAGCTAAAAATTTACGGTTATGCTTCTAAGGGTGTACTATGCAGTTACACGTGTGGGAACAGCGTAGCTTCGTTTTTGCACAAGCACGAAAATCCTTGTTTTCTCGAAAAATACAGGAACAGTACATATGAGTCTGATTTTATGTGCATGAGCACATATATGCTTGCGTGGGCAAGTTGGAGATCCGTGGAATTTTTTCCCAGTTTTTCGAGCCCTCAGTACGACTCAGATTTTGGATGCAAACTTACGGGGGTCGAAGATGGTGCGAACTTTCGCATACCATTTTGTAGAGCTTGCTTTGCTCTATCGAATGGCATCTGTCTCGGATGTACATGCGTTAGCGAGGAATACCAGTTCTGATCTGAAAATGTCCGAGAACTTTCTTACCAACCCCTCAGAAACATTTTCTTTGACAACCTGTAAGACTTCTCTCATATAAAAGGTTAGCAGATCTATTCATGTTTTAATATCTGAAACTCCGTGGAAGACAAAGGTAGAAAATGAATGAATGAATATGCACAAATATTGACAGTCTGTGAAAATTTGTCCATGCCTCAGATTCGCGGAAGCTTCCATAGCTCTCTTTCTGCTAACCAAAATTTTGAAAAGACTCACAAGAGTCAGAACGAACTAGTCATTATGCGTGCTGTGACAAAAAAAATTATCGCAATTATCCCAGAAGTCCTGCTCACTAGTCCTTCTCTCATGACACTTTGGGCTAACGATGATTTGATACTCGTGTACTTCATTCATATTACTTCACGTGCAGGTTTGATAATAGGCTTATTTTTTTAGCTTTTTCCCGAGGTAGAAGAAAGATAAATATCCTGAAATTATCTCTAATCCTATTAGCGAGGAGCTTACACGTCTTTGAAAAATTCTCCTTCGAAAATAGCTACTTTCAATAATATTTACATTCTTTCTGAAAGACCCAACAATCTCTATCAAATGTAATTTTTCTCAAATTCATTCAAAATAAGTTCTACTCATGAAAAGCTTAATTGAGCAGCCCCAGATTTGATGGGGGAGAGGGGGAGGGGGAGGAGTTGCAGATCAGTACCTAGTAGTTGAAGGCTTCCGGCAAAATCAGTATTTATTATGGACGTGTTTTAGCTGCCATAGTACATATACCACTACCTCTGTCCATTTTTTCTTCTCACTTAGCAATGACGGGAAAACAATAAACGATATCACATGGATACAAATTATGACCACTAATCATCGTCATCAAAAAATGTGGCTCTCTTGAAGGAAAACATATTATAAAGATTTCTTTCGGTTTTTTCCTGAGTGCACCATGAATGATCATTTCATAGGTGCAATTTCATCCTAGATATCTACAACGAAAATAAATTATTTTGATGACACTTCAGCATACGAATCGAATCTAGCATGTATATCACTGTGTATACCTTGCTGAGCTTGGCTTGAGTTGAGGAACACTTGTGCAGTTTCTAAATATTCAGGTACTCAATTAAACCATATACGACTGGAAGTAAATTTTAATGCTTATACTTACAACATAACAGTCCGAGTTTACGGATTGGGCGATCTCTCGGCAGTCTCTTCGACCAATCCCTGAGTTGCGGCGCGTGTCTCATCTTCACCCATATGTCGAGCCTGGAGATGAACTGCGCATAATCAAGCACTTTCTTTGCTACAACCAACTACCTCCGAGATCTTCGGTATGGATGGAGCATAGGGTGAAGGATACGTGGAGTGGAAGGCGGATGAGTGACTCGAATCTGACCCTAAAATTGTAAAGTTGAAGTGGTATTATTGTGGTAAAAATTGATTGTTGAAAGTATAATTCCTTACCGAGAATAAAATTTTCTTTTATTTTTCACCATCAAAAATCAACATTGTTTTCACATTTTGGTTGATTCTACAATTGGGAATTTTCAAAAAAGGGGGAATCGTTAAATGTTGTGTATGCTTTCTTTAATGCTGCGATATTGTAGAGAGGATGCTGATGTCAAGCAAATACTTCTTGGGAACAGAAGGGCTATACTTGGCTTGGGATCCAGGATGGAGCTCTAAAAAACAAATCGCAAAGAACGCGATAGGAGCTGTACGTTGAAATTATGCAAAAATCAAACGAATGAAGAGTGTAGTCAACCTCTTTTCCGAGATTGCGCCAAATAAATATGTCTCAATACCACTACTCTGAGGGTTGCAAAACTCGAATCAGGGCCTGGCACAGATGGTTTGAGGTCAAAATGAACTTCGTTTTCGGAGTAAAAAGCAAATGGGATATCGTAAAACCTGTTGAACATACATATAAGTGATCTCGAATCATGCTAATCACCAAGTTGCTACATGGATGGAATGCTCTAACGTGCTCTTTTTCACCAAGCGGTCAAATTCATCAGAAATGATGCTCAAATAAACAAATGGCTGATATACAGCGGACAAGCAATCGCAGACACAAATTTGGGCTAGGAGTATACAATATTGCTCCAAACTACACTATGTAAAAAGTTCAGAAAACTTATGTTCCTAACATCTGTTTTCGAATTTGTTCGTTTCTAGACCTCGACCATAAATAATGGAGAGCGCATAAGTTTTGAACCTATTTGATTTGGACGATTAGAACACTTAAAAACCTATCATATGGTGAAAAGAGCGAATCAAACCATTGCCCCTCGTCTTTCTTGAGCCAAAAATGTCTAGATGGACTCATTGATAGATATAGCGCTCCATTCACATGCCTACCAGGGCATCTTTTAGATTGGCGACAATTGCTTTCTGTTTTGTTGTTGCTGTTTCAAGCTGTTGTCGTTTTGTTACTAGTTTTTGCGTCATTGGGGACTTCGTACAAGTTTACGAAGTCATGGGGGATTTCGTCTTCAAAAATCCTCTAAGCCAAGGCATGCGGGGCCTGCTTATAATGCACCTAAATCTTTCAAATCCTATAAAAATCCGTTCTACACCTATCACTGCACATAGGAGGAGCTTGATTCCAGAACTACTCCTCTTCTTTTTGGTAAGACCCATATTAACTTAATACCTGCTCTAAAAGAAGTAAGCGCGCTCTATTTAAACGGCAATCGCAACTGGCGCGATCAAGAGGAATTGGAAAAATTTTGAAGCGGCAAAAGAGATTCGATTTTTGGGTGTAGCTTTGCCAAATTCGCCTGTGACCGGTCCCGATTATCAGGCTACTCGAGAGTGGTAAATGCGGAACATTATCCTGACACTTGAAAACACGTTTCGCGTATTGAAATGAATGTCCGTCAAACTTTAATCAGTAATATCAATGCACCTAGGAAAATCTAGACACTGAGTACTTGGCAGAAACTGTGCGCATTCAAGGCTTATTCATGGGTTTTCCTTAGATCTTAAGCTTCAATAGGCTTAATCCAAGTAAAACAGGCACCAGAGTCTACATTTATCATTTAACAAAATGAGAGGTGTACAAATTTCTCTTGTATTAAACCGGGTTCAAATCCGTGACTATCAGTGTAAATTAATAATATTTCTGCTAACCTAGTCCTGCGGAAGTTTGCCATGAAGTCGAGTAGCCGTTCATCTGTGGGTAGTTCGATTCTATATGATTTGAGAAGCCCATTGAACTGAATGTTTGGTACGAGGTTGTACCTAAATAACCCGCTTCTTCCTGTTTGCATCAAACATGTAGTTCACATACCACGATCATGAATGACCTGCGTGGATTGTGTATAGTTACTTGATCTGTCCCTCTTTTTTGAAGCTGCTGAGCCGTCGGCTTTTGCTTTCCTCTTCCTGAACCACACGGTTGAATGTACTTTGCTTTTACAGCAAACACATGTGTAGTAGGATGCAGTACCTAGTTTGCAGTTGACCCTCTTTTTTCATAGTTATCGGTCGCTGTACATTATGTAATTTATAGTAGAGTCCGCATGCACTGTAACAGACAAGAATCAGTCGAGTCCTCCAGAAACTTTTGCATTCTCTCATACTTGCACACTGGCTCTCCCTCCGCGTTCCTCCTCCAAAGCGTTGTGTTAGTTCCACTACAGTTCGAGCATACTAAGCCTTGCCTTCGCTGTGAGTTTTGCTGTAAGTGCTACTTTGTTAGTGCAATCTACGATGCAGGAAATGGCAGTAATTTCGTGCTATATTATGCTAAAGCTAATAACTTGTTAGGGCTTTACTAGAATGCCTAAACTTGAAAAATCGAAAATTGCTCAAGCAACGTACTGCTGCAGAGGGTTTCTTGTGTGTTGTGTTACCGCGGGACTTCGCCGAGGGCATTTCTGTAGGATGTCGTGTTTCGGTAGACGGTGGGGCATATAACTGAAAAGTACTATTTACTAATTTTGGAACTGCTTTTCTCACTGCCTAAATTCTCACTGAGTTATCTGTGACTATTAACTGATTGCTAAGACATGCGCAGGGTTTACTGAGTTTGTCGTTCCAAAAGCACCTGTTTTCACTGCCATTTTGTTACAAGGAAAAAACAGAATAATATTGCGCAGGCTGTGTGCAAATTGCTGCTACGGAGGCACCGCCTTTCAACGCCTTTTAGTCGCAGAAGCCGGTAAGGCAGCTCCCTGCACTAGGTGCAGGTTCCGCTTTTTTTCGATGATTGTAAAGTTGAGAGAATGAAGAGAGCATTTTGTTTTCAAGAGCCAGACTGATCGAACTTTCCAAAGCATTGTGTCAAAGGCAGTGGCTCGGAACTGGAACTGCGCGCTTTCTGTTGCTCCTTGGCCCTCTGGATGCGCTCAAACCAGAGCTTGCTTGAAAAGTCAAAAAAGGGTTTTTTATAGCATTTTTAGTGTCGAAGAGCTGAGGAGGCTGGAGCGGAGCATCCCGCCAAAAACAATTACTGGCCGCAGGAGACTGTAACACCACTCATTGGCTGATTGGCCCAGGCAGCCAATGCGACTCGGCTACGCGAATCTCCGCTCCAGCCTCCCCAGCAATTTCGAAGGCCGGAAAACGCCACAAAAAGCATTTTTTGACTTTTCAAGTACAGCACTGGCCAAGGAGGAACAGAAAGGGCGCAGTTACAATTTTCCCGACCTTTAAAGTGTTTCACAAATTTTCCTAAGTGTAAAAACATGTGCAGTTTCAACACTTACGGCATATGTCGGTCTGTTCATATCAAGATAGCAGTTATCGCAAACATATCCTCCTGTGATCGAGTGAGCATCACCACACGATTCGCCGCATTTCACGCATTCGGACGATGACGTGGGTGGGAAATAGGTTTGCTAAAGTGCATACTGAAATTTCCCGAAATACGCTTGAAAAGTGTCTTACCGGATTGAGATCAAACGTATTAGTGGTGTCTACATAGTGCGTAGGTGTTGTTGAATAAGGATGAAAAATGATGTTTCTGAAGAAATCGTTAAAGGATAGGCAGCACTCCGTTGGAGCTAGCATACCCATTAAGCGAGGGGGCTTGTGGTGAAGCGAAACCCAGATTTGGTTGCGGATAAATATAATTATTTGAGTAAGCCGGCAAAGTCATGCCAATGCTTTCCACAGTATAGGGTGAGAATGTCTCCAGTGGAGGAGCATATCCTGAAGAAGTGAATTTATTCCGCTTCGCTCAATCAAAAGAATGATGATTTTCTTACCCGGTATCAGTGAGTAATTGGTTCGTACATCGGCTGGCGTTGGCTGAGGAGCTTCAATAACTACTGATTGACGAAACGGAGACAATTCCGACTCGACCTTCACTAAAGTGTAAGCTTTCTATGGAAAGGCAAGAATCAAGTTAATCAGATAAGCCGAATGGAGTGTATAGTATTTATATTTTAACACAGCGTGAGCTTACTATTTCAGTGTAATTTCAAATCTGTTCTTGAAAGTGTACTTGGAGCCAAGTCCATGATACCTTCTTCCCGTTAAAAGTAGGGTCGACGCATTTTCTAGCTAGGCACTAAGCTTAGATGTACCGAACACATCTCTATAGTCATAGGAGAAAATATACAAAATATGTCTGTGCATGTGCAAACCAAATTTCAAAAGCAGTTATGAACGAAAATGGCGAAATAGAATGGAACGTCGTTCTGCACCGGTTTTTTGGTGAAATTTCAAAGAGTTTCGATTATGGATACTTTTGTCATAGATGTTTGAGCTCGTGCGCGTAATCTACGTAAAAGTTCCTTGTAGTGAATGGCAGTATTGTCGCCCAGTTTCGGTAGCACTCTATAGATGTGAACAGTTTGAAAACTTGTCCATAATTAGCATTAATCCCCTCCCTCCCCAGCCAATTAAACGGCAAAAGACAGAAGTCTTTGTTTATTGCCTTAGTTAAGAAGATACGAGGTGATTATCTTCACCACTAATATAATAAACCGTCCTGATGTTTTAGATAAATGGATGTCCGCTCCGCTTCGATGATAACACTAACCCTGGTAGACACTACGATTTGCCCGAATCACGTCCCTCGCGACCAAAAGCACGGCGACGCTGATCATCCGAGCAACGACATGGTCGTGCGACCTTTCTTATCAGTAATGACTATCGATTGCTCAAGAATATGAGTTGTTTGAGCATTCCGGGAACTCCGCTTTACATTCTTGATATTTTGCGTGATTGCGTTTAGCTTTTTACTGCCAAAATGAAACGATTACGCACTCCGAGCAAGAGGTTGCACATCTTTTTCTTCTTTATCGGCGGGTTGAGTAGGGAGTTGCAGGGTCATCCGAGGTGTATCCGCGGTCGTCCAAGCTGAAGGATAAGCCAGCGATTGTGCATCATGTGTATTCTCCATCTGAACATTTCAAATAATCTACATGATCAGTGCCCATAAGTACTCGCGAAAACTCACGAAAAACTCGTAGATAATATAGAAAATGGTGAGAAAACAGATAAAGATTGTGATAACACGCAACCAATCCGTATCAGTATCGTGTTAGTCTCGCCTACTATACTCGGCACCCGTTAGGGTATATGAAACGTTAATGATCGCTAATGAAGATGAATATCAAAGTTGTACAAACATCGTGTACGACGAACGCACGGATCCCATTGTGTTTATGTATTCAAGACGGGAGGCGTGGCCCCACTTGCCGAAGCGACCACTCATAACACAGCTCCGCAATATGGTATACGGTAGGTGGCGGCGAGATGAATCAATTACGCTTCATCAGCATATCGATTTATTCGGGAGATCAATGGAAGTCCTATCCTGGGAAATATCATGCAGTCCTATCTTTCTGCCTTCCGTTGAGCCTAAAGAGTAAACGACTTTGATAGTTGCAGATAAATTTATCAGTTTGGAGAGAGAGGGGCTCTATCAGACGGTCCAAAAGGCATAAGGCCTCTAGGTTTGATAACCTATCAATCGGTTTCATTTTCAACTAAGAGAACTGCCCACGTTGTTGCTTTCGATATTACTCCCTGCATTTACACTGTAATATTTTGCTTTATTTCAAATTCGCTGGGCTCTACTTTGTTCTTCTATGTAGCACTTCTCCTGTTACACTATGCATGGACTTCATTTGAATGGACAAGAACATGAGTTTATTTTCAAGAAATCGCTCTTTTCACACTTTTTGAAATGCTAATAAAATTGAGACACATGTATCACTGTCTAACGCCCTTTGTATAAAAAACACCACCAAAAATTTTCTAAATTCTGCTGTAAAAATAAAGTCTGTAAAATCAAGATTCTCTTGACATGCAACAATAAGACATTGCTACAGTATGTTTGTCGTACGCACCAATAAAATCATGGCGGGTTTGTCGAATGAGCTCTTGCAAATGTTCGGATCAAGTTAAGGGACTATATGGATAGGCAGAAGCTTATGGTAAAAATGAATTGTCGCCCATTGCTTGTTTCGCTATTCCCTTGAACCCGAAAATTTAGCGAAATTCTAAACTTTTTCTTTATACTGGGGGAGGACCTAGAGTCGAAATCGGCGCTCCAAATTAATAAGATATTAATCTGAAGAGCATCATACGCTGATTCCAAAACTGTATTTGTTTTTTGCCGAACGCCTCGGGACGCTGAGTTATGGATGTTTTTTGATGCGAAAATAATAACAAAATCTGGGTAAATCAATGGTGATGGTCTTTTCTGCACACAAATAAAGAAGTTTTGAGTACAGTAGATTAGAGAAAAGGTTTTTCATGCGTAGAGTGCTCTGATTTTCAACGCTGGGCCATTTTCGCAATCTTGGGCAAATTTGTTCCAATTGAGGGTTCAATATTTTGAGCTAAAGAAACGCTCAAAACTCAGCCTCTAGAAGAGCTTGGCAGGCAACAAAGACACCCTTGGAATTAGCGTTTGATGCTCTTCAAATTGGTTTATACAGGGTGTCCCAAAAAAATGTATCGAACGTTTGATCGTTAATTTCTCTCTTCTAAAAGAGTTTTTTCCTGTGCTTCAGGTACCAATCTGTAGAGCTGGCTTCAACTTAGATTTGCAGTATAGAACGAATCACTTATCTCTCCTCATTACTGTAGGATTACGGTAGAAACTTCAAAGAGGGTTTTAAGCAATGAAGGGCCATATTTTGCCCAGAAAGGAAAGAAAACAGCCTGAAAACTTTTACACTAGGCTAGTTAGAGCTGCTGATTCTAACTGTAAAGTTCCCAATTTATTATGATGCTTCATTGAAGAGTGAGAAAAAAGCTAAAAGGTAGCGGCCATTTTTCCAATGTTCCTAAAAAGTGCGGTTACACCGTTTAGAAAGCTTCGTATACTTGTGAATAGTTGGGTATTGAACTCAGCGTCCATAAAAACCCCAATACACAAGTTTTCACTTTTTTTTGAAAAATTTTGAAACGGCAGCTTTTTCCACATTGACACCATAGTTTCAAGTTCCTACCGTAATCCTACAGTAATGAAGAGAGATGGGTGATTCGTTCTACAATGCAAATCTAAGTTAAAGCCAGCTCTACAAGATGGTACCTGAAGCAAGGCAAAAGATTTCTTGGGAAGAGAGATATTAACGATCAAACGTTCGATACATTTTTTTTGGGACACCCTGTATATCTCAGGTAAAAAATCGTTTTCGACACTTTGAGTCCTGCCTTTGTTAGCGTCTTCGCTGCCTAGATCTTAACCGGGATACATACCCTATGCTAACGATTAGACGCAAAAAAATTCAGTAGCTAATAGTTTGATCCTCGATGAAAGTCACTATTCAATGGTTTAACAGCTTGTATAATGAAAACTATCTGATTAGGCAGAGCGAGCGCTTTATCATTCCAGAAGCTGAGGTGCTTTACTGACCAAGTTTACATGGAGGAATTCATGTCAAGTAAAACACATACCATGACAGACAATTTCAAGAGACTTTACATATGAAGAGAAGGGATTTGCTGGCAATCTACAAATACAGCAATAAAATTCAAACCCAACTCCCGTAACATGACAATAAACAAAGTATTCGGTAATGAGTCTGTAAAGAAGGAAAAGGCGCTTCATGATTGACCCTCGGCTATTATCTTATCAAGTCGGTTGTCGCAACCTTGGGGCTGACACATATAGGATGTGTCTTTGTTTAGTCAGAGTAAGCACTAAAAAATAAAGCTCTCAAATCCTTTTCAATCGTGAAAAGAAGTTTTCAAGATTTACCAAACAAATTACAAAATCATCCACTAATTCAAATTAGCTGGGCCGTCTGTCCTCCTTGTCTTTCCAGTAACTGCTCATATCATTTTTGACTTCAAATTATTCGTAGCTATCCCTTAACCAAGACCGTACGAACGTAGCTTCTTTCTGATATTCCTCCTTCTTGTTAGACCATTTAAAAAACAGTGCTTTTGATTCGGATTTTCAGCGTTTCTTTAGGGCGCCTTTCCTATTAATTCCTTTGCAACATATCTACACATTTTCAATCTAGGAATTTAGCTTGTCTTTACACACACACACGAGAATTGGCAATTTGCCAAGGATGCTCCAAGAGTGAACTCGGAGTTTCGCAACTCACAATTTTCTGTTATCCTACGAGATTGAAGGCACCGAAATGAAAAGATGGAGCCAATCTTCACTGTCGGGCAAACCTCTGATTACCTGCGAGAAATGCAGAATTAAACTGAAATCATTGGGTTTTCAGCCTCCAACTTCCTAGTTGTCTCAGAAGCTAAAAGTGAAACTAAGTGTTTGTAGTCGTTTCCGTACAACCCTGATTCATGTTTGAGTTCTATATACTGTCATGAACAAATAGCTGTTACCACGACTGCTGTTGGTAGCCCTCAAATGACTTGAAGAGCTCAACTAAACTTTCACCATGTTTAGGTCTTGTTGCAAATCTTTCCGTTCAATTTCATTATCGTATTTGCTCATAATTCGTGTGTATGGCTAAAAACATGCCGCTGTGATAACCGATTAGAGGCAGATGCTGTATAGATATGTCTAATCAAAATACTGTGCAGATAGCTATGCCCCAGTGTGCAGATGGTGAGACCGCAGGTACTGCCACTTTCATTTCTTCGTATTCTTGGTATCAGAGTATTCAAGTGTGGTTTCCGCCCGAGTCATGAAACAGAACCCCTGAGTTTAGTCATCCACAACACAGGTGAATGATATGTTTTGCTGAATTCGCAGTTGGAGAGCCTCGTGTTTTTTGCCCACGTAGTAATTTATTTCCCATAATTTCATTTCATTTCAATTCATTTCATTCATACGCTCGAGGCGTTCCAAATCAAAAACAATAAAGTGTTAGTCATACATGGAACACAACAGCAACAAATAACAAATCACCACGTCGTCCTAGGCCCAGTCTAAACGACTTACTAAGAAAAGTAATGTAGTAATAATGTGATGATAAGCTTGCATGGCTTGTATCTCGGCTGCACGTTATCTTGTGCTAGCTTAGACTAATTTCGAATTGTTTGTATACGTTTATCGCCTTCGTGATCTTTCATTCTTAATACAAGATGAAAGGAGTTTTTCTGCGGCTTACAAAAAAATGTGGAGCTGCACTTGATCATACCAAACTCATTTGTTGCGAGCTAACATTCTAACCTGTGTTTGGTCTACAGTTCAGACTTGCTCATTTGCTATTTGGTTGTATTTTGAATCAGCTTTAGAACTAATTTCTTGGTGAAGAGCCCGCTGTCCAACCATCAAGGCACATTTTTCAAAAGTCATCGGTTTTCCATTAAATGCAGTACCGGAGTAAGCAAATATTTTCCGCAGCTGTCATCGCTAAGCGACTGCTGATCGTGTTACCGTATTCTTCCACTCGTTCACTCCATTAAAGTATCACGTCGTAGTCAATCGATGTTCCTTATCAGCGCCACCTTCCATGTCTCCACGTACTGCTGAGTCGGCAAAACAGATACCAGCATGATTCGGGGCTATTGAGGAGAGAATCACTAGCTATTGTGCTAGCTTGTTATAATTCTTCCTAGCTGAATTAAGCACAAAGAAGACCACCTTCGCCATCGCAATGAAACAGACGATGTTCTGTTTTGTAAAACACCAATGGGCTAGCAAACATCAAATTATCGGCACTGATACTTGTGCTTCACATTTCGGAGAGCATGATCGATAGCATGTAGAAAGCTCCTCGAGAGTAAGATCAGTGCTTTTAGAAAAAATTGGTGATTTTATTTTGAGAAGCTCGGGTAACCGTAAAATTAGAAGTCTGATGATCGGAAGACCGGTTCAAACTCGCACAGCTTCGTAAGCTTGCGTCTAACTCTTTACAACTTCCATACTCCTTGCATATTGACAAAATCGAAAAATACAATGTTTTTGTGTGCGATTCAAGCGGTTTGAACCATTAATCAGTCTCTCCCTCCACGTATGAATACGTCTGAGAGCAGCTACCTTAATAGATTGAACAGACATAAAAATAATAGTGAATTTTTTTCTGCGCAGTTTCTCCGAACTTCATACTTCTGAGGTGATTGCGGTATCAAAGGTGAAGAACGGGCAAACAAGGAAAAATCAAAAGTATATTACATATTTTTTTCATGAAACAGAATAAACTCATTGATTATAATGCATGTTGAGAAAATTACAAATTCTCCCGCTTCTTGTCATTCGGCGATCTCCGAATCGTTTGTACATGGGCAAAAAAAAAACGTCTCTTTATTTCACGACTTTACCACAGCTGGGCTCCAATAGAGCCATGCCTTAAAACTCAGAGTACGATAAGGAAGCGAAAATAAACTTTGGGAGATCATCCCAAATGCTCTCAGCTAGGGAACCTAGCCCTACTGATCATTTTCTCCATCACAGAAGTGGCGGCCACTTTGAGGTAAAGCACGCAACAATCATTGTGGATAGAATGTGGACGATTCTGAAGATTTCAGCATGCACCAGATCCTAACGCGCTTACAGCCTATACGAAAGACTGCGAAAAAAGTTTTTCCGCTCTAAAATATGAAGAACACCAAGTTTGCACAGCCTGACATGGCATTAAGGGTACGTTCGCAAAAAACTCTGACTTGACTGTAACTTTCGACCATTTTCCTCGGTAACGGGTAGAGCATTATTTACCAAAAAGGGAGAACTGCGCGAACATCTAAAACAAGTACCAAGTAGTATCTATTGCATGTATAAGAATTGTGTCTTTGTTGCAGATGTTGACGCGGGACATTTCGGCAGCATATATTCCTCCACACCTCGGTAGCCACTGAATGATAACTGCATGTTAACGGGACCAGCAGGCACCTTCGGATCCCTCCTTGCTCGAGGTTGTGCCCTCGCGGAAACGAATCTTTTCCGGCTTTTCACGTACAGGCAGATTCCCTGGCTAGGAGAGTTTGGTCGTGTCTCAAGCCTGTTTTATACAGCGCGATGACACCTGGAGGAGCAGAAATCTGGAGGCGATTTGTTTCGACATCCCAAAAAATGCCGCTCAGTTTTGTGCAAATCATGCAGTCTTAGCAAACTTTTTTGCTCTACTTCTGCGAAGAAACTTTTGAAAACTGTTAAGCATCCATTTAATACCTAGTACTCGAATTATCGTCTGTGACACAGCAGCCACTAATGCGAATGTACGCTATAACACATGGATTTGTTGTTAAAATTATTTATAACGCAAGATGAAGCCAGATATGTTACAGCAATAAGCATTTTGAACAATGCCGTGAATTCCAAGTTAAATTGCACAAATAATTCGATCTGACATATTTTGAATATAGTAAAAAAAAGGCTACAGGCAACATAGTAAAGCCTATACTCTTTATTTATGTAATGAAAGCATAAGGACATTTTGCAGAAGGTTTGTTCTACTTTTTACTATCCATTGGTTCCATTGAATGTACGGTATAAGCAGAGCTGTCCAAGTTCGTGGGAGCGGTGTTCGCCGCTAAAATAAGCTTCTAATACTTGAAAACTGGGTTATCAATTTGGTTTGTGCTGACCGGTACTCGTTGTAGTCAAGCCATCTGCGCTTGTGGGGGCCTGTGTAGAAGCGACTGTCGTCATCATCAGCACCTTCATTGTGGTTATTCCTGGAGTGGTTTGTGAATGATACGATCCAGCAGCAGCGGCCTGGAGAAGACGTCAGAATAGAACTCGCAAATGTTAGTAAACTCCTGCAAAACCTACCGCTCCCTTTTGTCTATGTTCTTCTTCTGGAATAGGCGTCGTTTCATCATCATGATTGAAGAGATTGTCGGTGACGGTAGGATTTCTGAAATATCTTGGTTAAAACGAATGCCATGTGTGCTTAATCTTTATGTCAACATTCTAAGCAATTCCAAAATTCCAACTTCTCCACTAATTGGGGATCTGCTTTTACTAAACATTTGCGTACTACATACAATAAATGTCTTTCGGCAGAATAAAAAAACGAACCTAATGTAAAATATAGCTACCAATGTTGCTGCTACGAGAAGAACAACTGCAGCAAAAGTGGGAATGGCCACCTTCGGCGTGAGCAAATTCTTGATTTCAGGCATTCTGGTGATGAACTGAAAACGTTTTGAGCCTTGAAAATTGCACAGACACGGTAAGAATCGTTCGTTTTCATGAGAATTGTCAATTATGCAAACGCATAGCTTGGAGGCGACGATATACGAGCCACATCCGAGGTGTAATGAGTGGAGCAAAACTCGACATACTCATTTTGTAAATGGAAGACGACAACTAATACGCATAATCGTTAGCCGTTGATCCGATGACGGAACCGTTAAATCCGGTGTATATTCCGACCGTGACGTCAGTGACGACCTCAACATGGCAACCAGCGAAGCTCGTAATAAGCTCTAAAACAAATTTTTTGCTTGTTTGCAGAAACCAATAACGAACTATGGGTAAGCCAATAAAATTCTGCAATGTGGAAGAGTCTACCCGAGAAGAAGCTAAATTTCAGAAGCATTCTGATGGTTATAGGTCCATATAGGACACTCAAATACAAATTTTCAATACGGAATGAGACAATAGGTAGCAAAAGTGATTTCCACAATTTAATAAATGATTCATTCGTTAGCAAGAAATCACTGTTTTTTCCTAAACAGGAGATTTGGCATGAGTCGAACTATGAATCATTTACGTTGCATGACAGTTACTGTCGAAAAATCTATGATGGACATGTGATACAGAAAGCGAGATAGACTAAAACTAACGGCAGCTTCAAGTCATTTGAGCTTCAAGTACTTCAATTACGGAGCATTTACTCAACAGCACCATGTACTGGTCTCAAAACACCCACATTATGGTTAGCTTTCTGTACAAAAGTTCATGGACCTCGAGGAAAATTGTCATTAATCCTACGCTTTAGCAGACCCAAATTTCTTATAGCTAGAGTAAAACCTTGGTATTCATCTACATGACAATGCTACGATATTGCTTAAATTTCAAAGGGTAAGATGACAAATTTTTTACTAATTTGTTAGACAAAACATTGCTTGGGTGTTGCTTAAAAAGAGCACACCTCAATAAATTATCAGTACTGGGTTTCTTAAAATTCTGGAATGGCAACAATCAAATTTTAGCTTGCTGAAAGCTTGCAGTGCTGTAATGATGGAGGCTGTATTCATACACTTTCTGTCACAATGGTAAAGAAATCTCATTGAACGCTTGCTGTCTAATTATTACATAGAAATATTTGCAAAAGGGCATAAAGAATTTTCTAGAGGCGAACACTGGCCACGATGGAAATGATTGATCGGAAATGGATTTCAATGGCATGATCTTTCCTTGCGCGCCTTCTTTTCAGTATGGCTGTGTTGTGTTTTCCTAGTGAATAAAGATGTACTTAGCTTTTAGAAATTTGCTGCTGATGAGGTCTCGGGCCTGACGACGACTTTTACAGTTAAGATAGAGTAGGTTATCAAGATTACAGTAGCAGAGATGGAGCAAAAAAATTGGCGGGCGATCGACTTAGATCATCAATGGAGCTCACATAAAGGGCGACACCGTGGTCATTCTTAACTTTCACTTCATTCTGGGTGGTTACCAAGGATCTCTATTTTCACAATTCTTTTAACGATTCTCTTGTTTAGACTTTGCAGTTACTTACCAGTGTCACATATTCCTGCTTGAATTATGTATTCCCTTATAGTGGTTAACCAACTGTAACATGATTCGACTCACTCTACTCACACTTCTCGCCAATGTGGCTTTGCCTTATCCTGAGGGCAGAATGGGTACAGAATTCTGCAAGGAAAGACGGCCAGGTTTATTTGGACAGGTTTGTTGACTATTTCAACTTGTCTTTTTTTGAATACAGCCATTAGAGAAGTTTTATAGGATTGCTCGTCGAACGTAACAATCTGCAATTCTCTTGGCAAGGAGATTTGGCTGATGTGTCCATTTGACTTAGTTTTCGAGGATTCTCTAGTAGAATGCGTAGATTACCGGATAAGTTCAAGTTGCCCCATGAAAGAAAAGCAATCGAAGGAGGAAATCGAGACACTTGCTGGTATTTTTGAATTTATATCTGTCGCAGAGAAGTATAACCGCCTTCAGACCTGCCGCGAGCCTTCTGTGAATATGCTCCTGAAGGACTGCATGCCTTGACCGGATGCTCTCCTTCCGTCATCCTCTGCACGTCGGAAATAGCCAGGTAGATTGTATCATGATTCAAGGGGATCTAGATTTGATGGCAAGTATTCGCATATGAACAACTTGCTTCGCATTCCTCTTCAAGTTTATCTTAATCATGGCATGTCACATTGAAGCTTCCCCGTCATTGCTGAATCAGGATTAAATTGAAGTTTTTCAGCCTCATGGAATGTCCAGAAGACTATGTCTACGATGGAAAAAGATATTCATGCGTGGAACCATCAAAACTGGAGTCATGTAATCCCAACGCGGCTGGTGACACCACCACAAGTTCCTCTTTGTCTACAGCATCTCCCGAAACAGAGCCAATTTTGAGTGGGAGAGGTGATTTGATAGTTGTAAAATGTTTTGTTTTCATGTATCTTGCTTTGTTATAGGCTGCGAAGGATTAGCCGATGGTTTCTACGAATTTGCAAACTGCTCATCGTACTATCTGACATGTTCCGGTGGTATAGCTCGAATTATGAAATGTCCAGGTCTACTTATCTATGATAGAAGGTAATAAGTTGGTGTTATTAATCGGTACTTAATGTGATTTGCCCATTTTTAAGGCTGGGGGTTTGTAACTATGGACGAGACACTGAGTGTGCTAACCAAGTTGAAAAAACCGGTAGGGAATACCTTATCACTTCTTCAGTACCGTGCTCATCTTTTGTCATATACCAGATGTGTGCAAGGAAGATGGTTTCTATTCGTACGGAAACTGCACGGACCTGTTTTATGCTTGCTCGAACGGTAACGTTTACTTCTTTGCACTTCCTGTACAAGATAGAGCGCATTAAGGGCGTCAAATCACTATGCACTGTCCAGCTGACCTAGCATTCGACCAAGGCAGACGACTGTGTGATTACAAGTACGCTGTAGATGTATGCAAGGAAAGTGTGGGAACTACTGTGGAAGTACCTACGGCAGCACCTGTCGAAGAGACCACACGAATTCTCGTGGAAGAAACTACCACTGTGACGCCTGTTGAAGAAGTCACTAGAATTGTCATAGAAGAAACCAACGAGTTACCCTCTGAGAGGACGACTGTGTTTCCTGCGAGAGACTTCATTGAGCAGCATGGAAGAGATTTCTTTGAGCATCACAGGAGAGAGCCCGTTGAAACAGCCACAGTAGCAGTGACGGAGGAGCCTGAAAAGGTGCCCATGATGACGACAGAAATCCCCACGGAGACTACTAAGGATCACGTCGAGTTTATCGAAGATCGTGGGAAGGAGTACATCGTTTACTACGGAAAGCCGGAGGAAGCGTTTGGTGTGGAAACTACCACCATTCCTATGGAAACGAAGGTTCCCTTAAAAGATACAGCTGCAACTGTCATACAAACTAAGAACCTAGAGGAATACATCAGAGACCATCACGAATCCATGGAAGATTCTGCAAAGCAAACTACCGAGATGCCTGTCATGCAACCTGTCGAACATGAGAAGTTTGCCGACGCTACCGAGGCGCCTGTGAGGGTACTGATCGACAAGTATGGCAGAGAATTCATCGAAAGTCATGTTAGTGATTTCTCTGATATGCAGGAGAAGCAATACGCAGCCGTAGAAGTATCTGGGAAACCAACTACAGAGATGCCGTTGATGGCAGCTACTGAACGCCAAGAGAGAGATTACGAAGTCTGGCACGGACTAGAGTTCAGCCAGCCTCGCGGAGAAAGTATAGACTTTAGCAGATCCGTGCATGCGCAAGAGGAGAAGTCGAAGGCTCAAGCATCGCAGAAGTACGAAGGAGAGAGCGTGAATTTGCATGGTGCCGGTGATGTTACAGGAAAGCTCCGCGGTAAGCTTTCCGGTGAGTACGCTGGTGAAATTGCAGGCGAATTCGCTGGTAAAGCCGAGGGCCAGTACATGGGTGAAGCATCAGGGAACTTCATTGGTGATGTCAGCGGCCTGTCGGTAGGAGAGGCATCAGGCAGATTTACTGGTGAAGCTCAAGGCCTGTTCATTGGAGAGGCATCCGGAAGATACACCGGCGAAGGGGAAGGACTGTTTGTGGGAGAATCTTCAGGCGATTTCACTGGTGGAGCTCGAGGCCAATTCATGGGCAATGCAGCAGGACAGGTCGCAGGCGAGTTTACCGGAGGAGCGTTGGGCGACTTCTCAGGCCACTTCTCGGGCGAATTTTCTGGCTTAGCTGAAGGAGAGCAGATCTCGCGGCAATTCTCGGGTGAATCCATCTCGGGCGAGTATTCTGGCGACTTCTCCGGTGCATTCAAAGGAGATTTTGCTGGTGAAGCATCTGGCAAGTTCTCTGGTGCTTATGTAGGAGAAGCTGCAGGCGAATTCACAGGCGAAGCTTCAGGAGCATTCTCTGGAGATACTTCAGGACTATTCATGGGAGAGGCTTCTGGCGAGTTCTCGGGATTGGCGGCAGGAGCATTCCTAGGACAAGCTTCTGGCGACTTCTCAGGAGATTTCTTAGGCGATTACTCAGGCGAAGTGTCGGGAGAATATTCTGGAGAGATATCAGGCGATTTCTCTGGTGAAATCTCCGGCGACTTTTCCGGAGAGATGTCAGGAGAGCTCTCTGGTGAGATGTCGGGAGAGTTTTCGGGGGAAGCATCAGGTTTTTCGAGTGGAGGTATGCTTTTTACTATTTTTTCCTTTGATATTTTGAACCTTATGATTTACGTTAAGGATTGTACGAGAAGGAAGCATCTACAACGATCATGGCCGAACCAAGCACAACGCCCATGGAAATGTCGACACCAATAATGGAGGAGAGTACTACACGAGTGGACGAACCGAAGATAATCATGTATGAACCGAAGGTGATCGTGGTTAAACCGAGAAGTTCGTACACATCCATGCCAAGCACTACGCCCATGGAACCAAGCACCACGCCCATGGAACCAAGCACCACGCCCATGGAACCAAGCACCACGCCCATGGAACCAAGCACCACGCCCATGGAACCAAGCACCACGCCCATGGAACCAAGCACCACGCCCATGGAACCAAGCACCACGCCCATGGAACCAAGCACCACACCCATGGAACCAAGCACCACACCCATGGAACCAAGCACCACACCCATGGAACCAAGCGCACCAACCGAAATGTCCGGGCAAATGAATGAGCCAAGAATATTAGTGATTGAGCCGAGGAGATCTATGCCTGAGCAGAGCACGACGCCAATGCTCGAACCAGCTGAGGTACCTGTGTTTGAACCTGAACCACGAATTTTTATGTTCGAGCCAAGGAAGAAAGCTATACCTGAACCAAGCACAACATCCATTCCTGAGCCAACCGAGGCACCTCTGGATGCATTCGAACCGAGAATAATAATGTTTGAGCCAAGAAGGAGAGCCATGCCCGAGCCAACGACCGAACCAGCCGAACTAGCCGAAGCGCCATTAGCGAAACCAAGAGTGATCCTGGTCGAAACCAGGGAAAGGCATACATCTAAGCCGACCACTACATTCACGCCTGAGCTATCAGAGATCCAACCAAGGTATATCGCGTTTGAGAGAAAAACAACATCCACGCCATTGACAACCACGACTCTTATGAATGAGCAAGAGCTAGCTGATGAACCATTCGATTGTAAGTGCTTAGCATATATTTAGTTCAGGGTTTCCTTACCCATTCATGATGACTGCAGTGTCGACATTCTGTAAGGACAAGCCCGACAGTTTTTACGCTCATGGTTGCTCATCTGAAATGATTGCCTGTGTTGCTGGAGCACCACAGTCCATGCTTTGTCCTGCTAATTTGATTTTTGACGAACACAAGCAAATTTGCGAGTATCCAGAGAATGTACCATGCTATAGAGGCGAGAAGGAAAAGCAAGGCAGGTTTATCTTTCCGTATGTTCTGTTCCCATTAATGGATATTCTAGAAAAATGCCAAGGGGATGAAGCAATTGCTCGTGGACCATGCCAGAACACTTACACAAAATGCGTAAAAGGAAGGGTAAGGAGTGTCTTTTCTCTCCACTGCTCTAGAAACGAGCAATAACTTGGAACTTACAGCCTTACACCCTTTCCTGCTACAATGGCCAAGTCTTCTCCCCGGAACATTTAACGTGCAAAGATGTGCAAGAAGTGCACGGGTGCTTTTAAGAAGAAATCTTATGGATTAGACTGTTGATAAATTATAACGCATGCTGTGATAATATGAATAAATTTTTTTTCAATCTAGTTTTTTTTTTCAAATTTAAAGTAGCAGTAAAAGCCAGAAACAAATGTAAGATGGCTAAGCTTCATTCGGAACTCTGTTACAAATGCTACGGTCGTGTCTAATACAAGTGTAATCTTCGCAAAACAAATCAAAAGATGATTTGTGGTTAAGTAAATTTCGTGTAAGACATTTTTTTTTATTGAGGGTTTGTTAGTACTTTGAATTCCGTTTGGTATGGGTTGTTGCTGAGGTAACTCGTTAACATTTATGAATTCATCATGGACAGCAAGTAAAATTTGTATATCTCTAGGAAGTGTTTTTGACTGAGATATGCTCAAAACCGGAAAGTAACTGTTTTCTCGGACTTTTCGTCTCATTGGAATCGCTTAGAAGATCGACTTGCAAGGTCGTCATTGTTGCACTTTGTGTATCATGTTTCCAGAGATTGCCAGATTGTCCAGCTTATGTTGTTTCAGACTTTGCAGTTACAATATGCTGTTTGAAAGGCTTAAGTGCATAAACAAATTTTTTGCGGTTTGTGCGTATGATCAATAACTTAGTTCTTAACTCTTGGTTTGAGTAGTTATCTACTGAGCAAGTTAGCCTCTTTCTCTTATGTAGAACATGCTGATGTGCCAATGGCCGCATCTCCTTTTCATCTACGACGCTATGCCGGAGGCATTTATTTGTTCCGTTTGGTTAGCTTCAGATCCATGTGAATGCTGTTTGCAATATGATTTTGGGAGAAATGTTCATTGTGTCGATTTTCATCACATTTTTGGTTATCATTTGACACTTTCACTTCGTCTAATTGTTGTGTGTACTCGTTTCGAAGTAAGGTAATGTTATTAATCGGAGAAGTTTCTTATGCTTGCTGAGTAGGGCAGCTATAAACTCCATGTATAAAAGTTGTTTTTGATTATGTTGGAAGTTCAGGGCTAGAATGAGTGTATCCATTCAGTACTTTTTAACTTCAGATATCTGAGATTAGAGGCTTCCAAGGTCGTTCATATTATACCTTGATCTTGCAAAATAATCAGACATTCACCGCTCCGAAACATCGTAATCAATACACCTGTGCTCAACTATGGAAATGAATGGTAAAAACCATAGGTTACAGAACTTCTTCGAATACACAAGTATTCATGGCTGGTAGTGGTAAAAGATGGCAAAGACAGGAAACTTGTAGAGCTTTGAAAGACCAATTTTGCAAAAGATGTTTCAGTCGAGGGTGTGTGCCCTTTAGAAGAGTATATCGAAAATGCTCATTACCTTAGCACATTCCAATGCATGAGGTAATTCAGGACACCTTAGCATCTCCCCAATCAAGCTGGCCAAGCCGTAGCTGATAGCATACCCGATTCCTATGCTTGTTTAGACCAAACTTACCACGATCCCTCCTTGGGCCTAAGGCCTAAGGCATACCTCGCGCTCGGCTAAATCGCGACGTTCACGCGACCTGGCTTGTCTTCAAATTTATCGTGCGCGGTTCTCCAATACATGGGCGCGTAGCTTCTGTGGTTTGTTGCAAACCGATCAAGTCTTGCTTAATAAAGCGCTTCGAGGACCCATTATGAACATTCGTTCCGGTACCAAATCGCGCAGCAGCTGAAATCGCGTAAGGTATGCCTTAGGCTAAATGCATACGTCCCACGATTCGTCAAATCCCCACATCCTGGCGACTTGACGTTTTGCCAGATGTATACAGATCAACTACGCGTGAGTGCCAAATGCACAGCCGTGTCAAAGTCTGGCCCAAGCAAAGTGCGCTTAGGAAAAATTATGAAGGCCAGATCGCGCAGCGACTGGAATCGCGTGAGGTATGCCTTAAGCCTTAAGGACATGGGTTCATCAGATATGCCTGCATTTATCATTGCAGCACAAAAATAGCGTCAGCGAAATAGCTCTCGTAGTCCGTTTTGCTTGTGAGGAATAGCGTCATAGTCTGGTCTCAGTCCTAACTCAAAAGATAGCTCTTTCACACTTTGCTTCAGATAATAGTGTATGCCTCGGTCCAGTTGAATTGTAGGTAGATAGGCAACAAGACAGTTGTAAACTCTAGTTGTTCCAGCGTACCAACTTTCTGCGTCGTCGAGTTTCTTCCCTCCAACACTTAGCTGGGACATTTGTCAATTTTGATCTTAGACAAGAAATTCTCGTGAAATCCAATCGCATAAGAAATTGGCGGGTGATAGCGAAGATCTACCAAATCGATGAACATATCCAAGACTCGACTGGCACCATTTTCACTTTGTCGCTCTACTTGGTTAGTCCTTCCTACGGTTTATGAATGCTAACATTGCAAAACCTAGACATCATTATGTTCAAATTGCTTGTGTGGATGAATTTTTAGACAAAGTATTTTTAGTGGTTAATCCGAAAGTAACATGATCCGACTCACATTACTCACACTTTTTGTTGGTCTAGCCTTGTCATACCCTGAGGGCAGGATGGGCAATGACTTCTGCAAGCAAAGGCAGCCTGGTTTGTTTGGAGAGGTAAGCTCAAATAGTCTTTTCAGATTACCAATGGCAAAGCTTCAGACATGAACTTCAGGGTTGCTCCCCTAATGTGACCGTCTGCAACTCCCTTGGCAAAGAGATATCTCTGATTTGCCCATTTGAGCTGGTCTTCGACGAGTCTGTCGAAGAATGCGTGGACTACCGAATGAGCCCTAATTGCACGTCGGAGGACGAGCAGGCACTCAATGAAACAATGAAGACACTTGCAGGTTAGTTGCTGGATTATCAAGTTGAGCAGCATTGTCTAGACTCGTGTGTTCAGACCTGCCGATTGGACTGTGCGAAAACTCATCGGAAGGTTTCCATGCTTTAACAGATTGTTCTACGACTGTCATTCGCTGTATCTTAGGGAAGCCCAGGTTCGAATCCCATTTATAGACCTGTTTATTGCAGTGTGTAGACGGTGATTGCTGTCACATATGGGGAAGGTTTCTTCAGGTTGTTTCAAAAGGATTAACATGGAAGGTTCATGTCGAACAATTAGGAAACTTTTTTCAGCCTCATGGAATGTCCTAACGGTCAAGTCTACGATAAAGAGAAATCTCAGTGCGTTGATCCATCGGATTTGGATTCGTGCAATTCTTCCGAAGAAGAAACTACTATAGACTCCACTACTGAGGACTCGTCCAGCTCAAATCCGATACTAGGAAATGCTCTGGGAGGTAAATGGCAACAAATTCTTTACTAGCTTTACCTACCCTGCTTTAAGGATGCGAAAAACTGGCCGACGGATTTTATGAGTATGCGAATTGTTCGTCTTACTATATGACTTGCTCTGGTGGCATAGCCCGCATTATGAGATGCCAGGACGACTTAATCTATGATAGATTGTATGTTCACCCCTTTAAATTTTTGTTGTACACTGATTTCATGAAATCTAGATTTGGTGTATGTAGCAACGCAAGAGACGTGGGCGAATGTGGTGCTCAAATCGAAACAGCTGCTGGTTTGTGCATTTAAGCCGTCTGCTGAACGACCTTACATATCTTCTGTTTTAGAAATCTGCAAAGAGGACGGCTTCTTCTCGTATGGAAACTGCTCTGATCTATTTTACGCATGTACAAATGGTAAGGCGAGCACTACATTGCACAACTGAGAAAACATTGCAATTTAAGGACGTCAGATTACTATGCATTGTCCTGCTAATCTGGTATTTGACGAGGCAAAGCAATCATGCGAGTATCCTGAGACTGTTGCTGTATGCTCTGAGAATTCAAGCGGATATTCCGGAGAAGAGTCTGGCTTTGGTGAAGCGTCTGGAAAAGAATCTGGCTCTGGCGCAGTGCCAGGAGAGGAGTATGGCTCCGGTGAAAGTGCTGAAGAGGGCTCTACCGAAGCTTCTGGAGAAGAATCTGGATCAGGCGAAGTCTCAGGAGAGGAATCAGGCTCCAGTGAAATTTCAGGAGAAGAATCTGGGTCTGATGAAGCTTCTGGAGAAATATCTGGCTCTGGCGAAGTCTCAGGAGAGGAATCAGGCTCCGGTGAAATTTCAGGAGAAGAATTTGGGTCTGATGAAGCCTCTGGAGAAATATCTGGCTCTGGCGAAGTCTCAGGAGAGGATTCAGGCTCCGGTGAAATTTCTGGAGAGGGATCCGGAGAAGTTTCAACAGAGGAAGTGAGCTCTACTACAAAAACATTATCGGGAGAATTCTCTGGCGAGATCTCTGGCGAATTTTCTGGCGAAATCTCAGGAGAGTTTTCTGGTGAGGCTTCAGGTGATTCGTCATCCGGTGAAGTATCTGGCGAGCACGCAAAAGACGCTTCTGGCGTGTTTTCTGGCGAAGCATCAGGTGATTTTACTGGCGAATTTTCTGGTGAATTCTCTGGCGAAGCATCAGGCGAATACTCGGGCAATGCATTAGCAGAGTTTTCGGGCGAGTTCGCAGGCGAATTTTCGGGAAAGGCAACAGGCGATTTCGCAGGTGAAACTCAAGGCCAGTTCCGCGGTGAAGCGGCAGGAGAGATCTCAGGCGATTTCAGCGGTGAGGCCGAGGGTTATTTCTCCGGCCAGTTTTCAGGAGAATTTTCCGGTGAAGCTGCAGGACAAGAAATTTCACGTCAGTTTTCTGGTGAATTGATCCAAGGAGAATTCTCTGGCCAGCTTTCGGGCAAATTTGTTGGAGAATTCTCAGGAGAAGCTTCAGGCGAGTTTTCTGGTGAATTCTCCGGCGAACTCGCAGGCAAATTAGCTGGAGAGATGTCTGGCGATTTTTCCGGAGAAATGGCAGGAGAAGTATCGGGAGAACTATCAGGAGAAATCATGCCAGGTGAAGGCTCTGGAGATATGAAAGCATTTGAAGCATTTTCGGGAGAGTCATCCGGTGATGGTTCCGGTGAGTCGTCTGGCGAAGCGTCTGGAGCCCACGAAACAACTACGCCGTTTTGATCTGTACATTGATGCGTCTTTTTATTTATAATTATTATGCATGTTCTAATAATATAAATAGTAAATTATTTATTGATTCTGCTAAGTCTATGCAAATGAGGCTCCACAAAAACACTTTCCACTCTGAGAACCGCCAATCTAATGTGAGCACTGAACACACACACATCAACTTGAATGCCGCTTTTCCCATGACGAATAATGCTTTTCCTTATCTACGTCATCACCTATCGATGCGGCAGCCGACTTGGGCTTTCGTTATTCATGAGAACGCAGAAAAGGAATGAGGAAAACAAAAATGCACAAGAACGGGAATTCATCGTAGGGGTAGGTTTGAGTGGATCGCTGTTAGTTGATGATTCATGTGAGCGTGTATGGCAAAGTTTACAATCAATAAGAGTTGATTTGGTGATTTTCCGATTACTCTAAATCAGAATCTGACTGCGTTCATGATTATAGCAAAGAAGCAAGCATTATAGCATTACTGGATTCCACTAAAAATAGCAGTTTGCTTGGCCTTACCTATTTTCTGCTAGAGCGAGCACAATTTATAATAACTAGGCAACAGCTTTCTTTTGTGAATTCAATTAATAGGAGGACTCCTGAAGAGCAGCATCCCCCACTGTCGGTAATTTCTATTCAAAATTGGAGTTTTGCATGACATTCTTGCAAAAAAAATTTCCTAGAAATTTGAATAAATACATAGAATTAATCATAGAGCAAGGAGGGTAATGGTAGATATAAATAGTGGCTCAGCCAGAGCCCGCGGTTTTGGGATCTCAAATGATAGGAACTTGGATGACACTTGAAATATTTCTTTCTTCAAAAAAATTAGCAGTTTCCATAATTTTTTAATTTTTCAAGAGCAAGAACAGTCACTCTATACGTCGTAAATAAGACCTCTCTGATATCGCTATCACCTCTTGCTGTGGACCATAGATTGTTGATGGCATTTTAGTTTTTAGCGATTTTAGCAAGTCAATCATTTTTGCGATGGTAGCAATGAAGGCACTGATAGCTCGCATTGCCATCAGCCCATCACAGTTTTTCTAGGAATATTATTGTCTCGTCACAGCATAACGCCCTAAAGAAAAAAATTGAGAACTATCTCGACAGGTGGTGGTCTGGAATTCATAAATCCATGCGAGTCGCTTGAAGCCTAAATCTGTAGTCAGAAAGGGAAAATGCTACACAATGGCATATTAAGCCACAAGATCTGGAACTAAAAGTCATCGAATTGTTTGTGAGTTAAGTTGTTCGCAACTTTTGATTGATTCAAACTAAAGCGTAACTTTTGCTCAAATAGCCCATATGGTCTCTGAACGCGATCTCGAGTTTCCATTCCAAATCTACAACCTAAGAAGTCATATAGGGTTTTTTATCGGAAGCCTGCCAAGTGCCCTCGAATAGCAAAATTGGGAGGAAAGTGCCGTTTACTGCAGTAGATGGTGACTTTGACTGAGGAGCATTAGAGACATGGTTCGGCACGAGGTGGCCCAGAAAATCCTCAGAAGCGGGGTCCCCGTAAATTTCCTAATGAAATGTGATTCCTACGAGGCTACAAAGGGGAATAAACAAAATCAAGAAAAATGCATGACAGAAGAACAAACAACCTGCGAAAAACTTTTTCAGAAAAGCAATGTGTTTGATTTGCCTTCTTTGGCGGCAAGCTGTCCCTACCGCGTATCACCTCGAGCTTCGATCAGGACTCTAACTTCAGAATTTCGGGGTGCTGTAACTAACAATGAGCGGATAGGATAGGTTTGCGACGGTTTGAGAAGCAATTTATAAATAGGTACCACTTAGGACTAGATTGTTGAAAACAGGTCAGAAATCATGTGGAGAAAGGGTGAAAACAGATGGCCGACAAATACCACTTCACAAAGTGCCAGGTCAATATTGATCCCTTCCCTTGTGACCAGCATAAGAATTCATCGTTGTAGATCCAAAAACAAAACGGGAATCGCCGTTAGCGAGCTAACGAGGTTTGTTCGAAAAACTCTGCCCTGCGTGAAAATTGCAACCGCGAATTTTCCATATCTCCTTGGACATCTGCATCCACTGACTTCAGGGTGCTTGAGAAGTCAAAAAAGTGCTTTTTATGGCGTTCTCCTGCCTTGGAGATTGCTGTGAGGCTGGAGCTGAGATTCCGGCACCCAGTCGCGATTGGCTGCGGTGAGTCAGCCAATTGCCGCTAAAATGAGTGTTGTTACAGTCTCCTGCAGCCAGTCACTGTTTTTAGCGGGAATCTCGCTCCAGCCTCCTCAGCAATCTCTAAGTCGGAAAACACCATTAAGAGCACTTTTTCAACTTTTCAAGCGTAGCTCTGGTCTAAACGCATCCAGAGGCCAAGTAGGAACAGAAAGCGCGCAGTTGCAATTTTACCGACCCACTGTCAGGGCTCGACACGAGGTGGTTTTTGCAAAATGTGGAAAACGAAGTACCCCTTGACTTTCGCGAATTTTTGCGAAGTCCCCTTTGACCCTAACTCCTAAACGTAAGAAAAACCCTCAAAAACGAAACGTCCATTAAAAAGACTTCACAATTTTTGTGTCTTTTCGGCCCCAAAAACGATACCCCCTTTGCTTTTTGTCCCAAAAACAATATCCAGCATGCTTACAAGCTACCTGTGGCGTGCCCTGCCCACTGCCTTCAAGGAATAGTTCGGGAAGATTACATCCGCGAGCTTCCATCCCTCCTTGGGCTTCCGCATCCGCTGACTCCAAGGTTATGCTTAAGAAGTCAAAAAAAGTGCTTTTTATGGCGTTTTCCGACCTTGATTATTGTTGGAGGGGCTGGGCGAGCGATTCCCGCCAAATGAGTTTGAATGGCTGCCTGAGCCAACGCCGCCAAAATGGCGGAATTACAGTCTCTTGCAGCCCCCTCAGTTGTTTTTGGCGGGCTCTCTCCTCCAACCCCCCCCCCCAGCAATCTCTAAGGCCAGAAAACGCCAAAAAGATCACTTTTTGGGGTAGCGGACTTTATGAACGATAGCTCGCGCTTAGGCAGGCGTGTGTCAATAAGGTGCGCACCCTTAGCCCCACCTATCGCAAGATGGACGAGTTCTTTGCAGTACAGCTTTAGCACTGGTTCATGGTCATGTTCCCTAGTCAAGTGAAAGCAACTTCTGATAGTAAGCTGTAAGCTTGTTGCAAGCTGGGGGAAGCTTGACTATTTAAAAAACCTTGTTTTGATTTCTTGTTTCTTTTTTGCCAGTCATTGAACAGCTAATGTGTTGATTGTGAAATTCGAGAGATTTGCTGATTTACCCATAGATGGCCGAGTGACTCTTGAAGTCTCGTCGCAATGAAATTTGTTTTTAGCTATGATTAGGGCTTCAAAACTTGCTTTCCCGATAAAAGAGATAATCGTGTTGGTCATTTCAGCAATAATAATAATCTCGATAAGCTGACTTCTTTTTGAACTAATGAGTGCACAATAAAGAATAGTCAAAATAACAGATGTGAATAAAGAAAAACATTTCTCCAAGCATTTTTGATAGAATTTCCTCATACTTACAAAAATAATCAATTTGGACAAAGCTATCAGGAACATATAACTGAAATACATTGAAAAGAGCTTGCGAACTAATTTATAATGAAAAATGATCTGAAAACTAATTTTCATTTTGATTGAAATTTTGAAATCTACTATTATCCATATTGCAACAACTGAAGAAACATGAACGAAATATTAGAGAGTTTTCCAATAGCAGCAACGCATTCCTAGGCGTGGTCTCCCATAGTCACTCACCCTTTTTTTGTCGGTACAAGCACGGTCCCGGATTCAGCGGATCCAGAACCCATGTAGTTGTGGAAAGCTCATATTCGCAGTTTTCCAAAGTCACTGCCTTCAAACTCCCTCGGAGTAGGATTCACCTGCAAAAAAGGAGCATTGTATTCTCTTTCTTCCATTCCGTCCGAGTACATTATATGACGATTCTGCCTCTAACACTAGCAATGCTTATGCATCTGAAGCGAGTGTATTATAAGTCAGTACGCCCTTCGCTTGAACGTTCTTACCGAGATGCAAACAGTAAGATGTCTTCTAATATTCACTCTTAATGAGTCAAAAAGGGCTAGGTTTAGAATTTGGTTGTTGGTTATGGTCTGGTGTACAAGGTAGGAGGATTTTCATTTCGTATGGTTCGAACTCTACAAATACTATGGATCTTTCTGTCAAATTTGACTTATATAAGCAACCATTGTGATTTAGAATGTAATTTATTGCATTTACATTCTCCGTTGTGAGCCGACTAAGATTATAGACGATGGAGCTGGAGTCAGCTGTACCGGTACCGCTGTTAAGAGCTGCAGTAGTGTTCTTGTCTACAGTACTTGGAAGTATACGGTATGCGCCTGATCATCGCATTATGGTGAAATGAAAAATGCTTTTTCTACCCACATTTACCATTCAAGAAAAAGTCACCATGGAAAACAAGTGGCGGGAGATCAACATAATCTACCGGATCGATCGGCCACTACAGGCTGGCGATGTGGTCATTCACATTTCTGCGCTTGGCTTAGGATACCGCACCTGTCGTTTTCCACGTTTAGCATGAGTGTTGAACTTCGTAGATTATCCTTCTGAGGCTACCAAACTTTCCGAGTTCTGTCCATGAATTGCACTTTCAATTATAGTGGTTAACCAAATAACATGATCGGATTTACTCTACTCACCCTTCTTGTAAGTCTCGCTGTGGTCAATCCTCAAAGCGGTGATGGTTCTGACTCTTGCCAAGGAAGAGATCCTGGCTTATATGCGCAGGCATGTTGCTCATATAGTTTCTGAGATGTCCGTAGTAATTTTTGCATCTCTATGTACAGTACTGACTTCTCTATGGATAAGTTCTAGGGCTGCTCCTCTACTGTAACAGCTTGCACATCGCTTGGAAAGGAAATCTCATTCATGTGCCCGTTCGACTTGATTTTCGATGAATCCCTTGAAGAGTGCGTCGATTACCGAGTAAGCGCGAATTGCTCCACGGATGAGAAGCAATCAAGGAATGGAACAAAGCTGCAAACACTTGCAGGTAAGTTACGGGTATAGCGAGTTTGATTTGTAGGACCTAAGAATAGTTTAGACTTGCCCCATGAGCTCTGTGCCAATGTATCAGAAGGTATTCATGCTCTCACCGGATGTTCCACTGCTGCTATTCGCTGCATCTCGGGAAAAGCCAGGTTCGAAGCTCTTTTCGAGTAGTTCCCAGTACAAGGCTGTGATTTAGCCTGTTGGAATGTCAAGGCGGTCAGGTGTACGACGAGACGCAATCCCTATGTGTGGGACCAGGAGAGCTCGATGCTTGTAATCTTGCTACTTCTGGCACTGAAACTACAACTGCTTCTTCCGAGGAATCATCTGGAGCAGAACCAATATTGGGCAATGGGACAACGAAAGGTACTTACTCTTCCTATTTTTATTTAAATAGGTTTTGAATTTAGATTGCGGAGAGTTGACTGAAGGGTTTTACGACATCGCAAAATGTTCACCGTATTACCTTAATTGTCTCGGGAACTTAGCTCGCGTTGCAAAATGTCCGGACAAGCTCGTTTACGCTAGGAAGTAAGGCATGAAAAATATTCAATGTTACTTTTGAGCTTACGAGCACAATCTAGCATAAGTGGTTGTGTTGAGCCAACATATGTGGACGAATGTAATGAACAGTTGGGAGCAGCTGGTAAGTATGTGGTGGTTCTCTAATACCTATCAGAAAATATTTTCGTCTCAGCTGATTGTAAAGAAGACGGCTTTTTCTCGTATGGAAAGTGCACGGATCTATTCTATGGCTGTACGAACGGTAATGCATAATTATTTGTGATTTGCCAAGTAGGGAAATCCAAGTTCAGGACGACAGTTCACTATGAACTGTCCTGCCAGCCTAGTATTTGACGAAAATAGACAAATGTGTGATTACCCCGACGCTGTAGATATTTGCGCCGAATCCTCTGCGGAAGAGTCTGGATCCGGCTCAGGAGAGGAATCGAATTCTGGATCTGCTGAAGATACGGGTTCTGGCTTAGGTAAGCAATCTGACTCCGCTCATGTCAAAAGCTGACAAGTGTGTAAATTTCGGAATCTCTAGCTGTAATGAATCAGCTCCTTTTGAGGTGAAGGATCAGGCTCAGGAGAAGAATCTGGCTCAGGAGAAGAGTCGGGCTCAGGAGAGGAGTCGGGTTCAGGAGAGGAGTCGGGCTCAGGAGAGGAGTCGGGCTCAGGAGAGGAGTCGGGCTCAGGAGAGGAGTCGGGCTCAGGAGAGGAGTCGGGCTCAGGAGAGGAGTCGGGCTCAGGAGAAGAATCAGGCTCAGGAGAAGAATCAGGCTCAGGAGAAGAATCAGGCTCAGGAGAAGAATCTGGCTCTGGAGAAGAATCTGGCTCTGGAGAAGAATCTGGCTCTGGAGAAGAATCTGGCTCTGGAGAAGAATCTGGCTCAGGAGAGGAGTCGGGCTCTGGAGAAGAATCTGGCTCAGGAGAAGAGTCGGGTTCAGGAGAGGAGTTGGGTTCAGGGGAGGAATCGGGCTCTGGAGAAGAATCGGGCTCTGGAGAAGAATCTGGCTCAGGAGAAGAGTCGGGCTCTGGATCCGATATGAGTGGTGGGGCTGATGCGGAGAAGATTACTGGAGGAGAGTCCGGTTCTGGCGAAGGCTGCGGACAGGACTCTGGATCTGGATCTGGCGAGATGTCCGGAGATGACTCGGATGCTGAAACGGAGCTTGAACGTGAGTAATCTATACTCACCTTCTCTCCGCCCCCATAGTTTTTTGCAGTTTCAACATTCTGCGAAGGGAAATCTGATCGCTATTACGCCGTGGGATGTTCATCTGAAGTTATTGCTTGCTTTGGCGGAAGCACAGCATCACTGCTATGTCCGACCACCCTGATCTTTGATGAAGGCAGGCAAGTCTGCGATCAGCCTCAAAATGTCAAATGTTCCCGAGGACCGAAAGAGAACAAAGGTAAGGCATGACAAGTCGGCCATTATCAATTTCGCCATTGACTCTTTTGATTCAGTAAAGTGTAAATGTGACGAGGTGATTGCGCGAGGTCGTTGTCAAAATACGTACACGAAGTGTATTTCAGGGAAGGTGAGTTATTCATTCTAACTTGAAGAATGAGGCATTATCCTTCAGCCTTACACGTTTTCCTGCTCCTATGGTCAAGTATTCTCACCAAAGGAGAAGACCTGCAAAGAAGTGCATCAGGTGCTCGAATGCTTCGCGAGATAGGCACATTGTTTATCAGAGAGATTACAATATATTAATGTTGGTCTTAATAATTAAACAAAGTTATCTATTTTTGATTGACATAGTAGCACATATTTTTTTACAGTGTGTAGAACGGCTATAGGTACTCCTGAAGGAGCTCCTTTGAGCGGAGATGGTCTTGTTGAGCTACTCGGAGGCAGAATCTTTCGGTGCTTGTAAAGTAAATGTTAATGCGTCAACCATTCCGAGGAGCAAACCCCCTATTCTGACACAGCTCAATACTGTGTTGTGCGTAGATTACTATCCATGCATACAGGATCGATGGAAGCGTTAGCCATACCTCTTTAAAGGCATCGTCCACCCAAAAATGGAGTCGATGAGATTTTGATGCCTAACTGTATAGAGGCCTCCAACTGTATACTTATCCAACTCGCGCTGGCAAAAGTTGCTTCCGAAGCGAGAAAATTGCTTCGAAAATCGCTCGGATGACAGATTCGCCACGTTGGCTCCTCCCCTTTGAGTGGGCGTGACGTTCGTCCCGCCCATCCGTGCAATCACCGTTCCGAAGAAATCGCTCTGCTGGTTTTCAAAACGGGTGTTTTCGTGTTTCTCTGATTTCTGACTTGATATTCGGAATCAGGGGTATGAGAAGGCCCTATAACGGCAAATACAAGGAGGTCGAAATTTTGGGTGGACGGTGCCTTTAACCCATTGACGACGACGCCTAATTTTGCATGGCGGCGCTGTGGGACGACGCGATTTTGCACAACACTTTCGGCGTGGGAAAATTTTGTGATTATTTACGAAGTGTAAAGTTGTTTTCTAAACAACCACAATCATCTTTTTGGACGGCAAAGTCTACCGGTTCCGAGAGTGCAAAAAATTAGAGAAAATACTGAACTGTGGAAAAAATACTAGACCCGGAAAGGATATGATTTTGCAAGGGGTGTGGGCCACCGGTGGTCCACATCGTCCCTGGCGGCAAAAAGTGCGTAGGCCACCGGTGGTCCACATCGTCGTCAATGGGTTAAATCGATTAAGGCTATTCTAAAGATTGATTGCTATAGTAACTTTTGGGTAATTAACGAAAGTAAGATAAATAAACTGCACGGTTTGTTCTTGAGAGTTCATATATTTCATAGCTCAAAGCATCGCATTGACTTAGCACGAACCTTTGAGTAGGTTTTCTTCTCCCTTGAGAGCGAGCAAATGTGTTTTGCAAGTCTGACCAGTAACGTGTGAAATTTACCGCCTGCCTCTTGCAAAAATATCATTTGGCCGGTTCCTTCCTAAGTTGCTTTAGAAGACTTTTAAAGATCTGGGTTCTTCAGATATTATTGTACAAGTGTAAAGATAAATATTTATTCGTGAGAAAAATCACATGCATTAGTGTATGTACAGCCGAATGAGCTCATTTACGGTAGCCGGCAAACCCGTCACTGGACACCTGCAATGGAAAAATTAGCAAACGGCTGCTATAGTCAGCCACTTACGTTTTGAACTGGTTGACGTGATCATATATACAAGAATAACAGAACACATAACCGGATACTGATAATGCTGTATCATTTGTCCTTTTTCTCATGCAAAGTGGGCATTTGTTCGTGTCCAGCATTAGAACACTCGATTCAGTCAGAAGCTGAACTATGAATTCTGTTGATTCACGAATCAAATGTACACGGTACAAACTTTGTGAGGAGCCGGAGGTGCGTGACCGCGCGGATTTTTCCGAATAAGCTGTGAGCCGAATTCACTGTTGTACATGAAGTCAATGAATTGAATAAAGAATAGACCGTATCCAAACAATCTCGAAAATACGCCTGGGAAGGCGAGGAGGAAACGCCACAGTCGATTGAAAATTCTACAAGTATAAAGTAAGGATATTGGAATTTGTTAGAAAATTATCGCCCTGGTGAATATTCGGCTCTATTTGGACCGTCTCGCTCTTAGTTTGAGAGAGTATGCATATTCAAACCCTCAAATAACTGACCCTGATCCTTGCAAGTGAAGAGGGATGTATTCAAAAGCTTCCATATCTTGAGCCGTTAACTTTTCTAACCTAACGCCAGCTAGCCAGAGAAATGGGGAATGCACGGAAGAACGATTCACAATGTACCTGAATATCTTCTTAGATCGATAATAAAATTTGAATAAACTATACGTACAACAACTGAAGTAGCATGGTCGCAAATGTGAGAAACGATTTGATGACAGGCCATAGACGAACGAATAATCGAGCGAGTTTCACTCGAATGTCCTAGAAGTAACACAGTTGCTTATGAGCAAAGTTGCAGCCAACCAACTCAATCAAACTCTTCAATGCCGTAATGGGAATAATATAATAAGCCTACTGCTGTCCTAGCGCTAGCTGCTCGAAGTCTGTCAATCCAAATCTCATGCCATTTGTCAAACTTGTCCCTAACATATGGCCACAGTACCTTGAATATCACTTAGTAAAACTTTTAGTTTCTGTATACATCTCTGATGTAACGAAATTTATAAATCAGCATATTTTGTACAAATTTACATAATGAGACGATTATTATAGAGTAGTGCTCAACACTTACAACTTCATATTGATATCATTTGCTCTGATTTTTCAACGAAGACTTTTCAAAATTCGTGGTGCTTCATATTTGAACTCACTAAAACAATGAGCGAACGAAGGCGATCATTGGTTCGCACAGGAGGCACACCCGTTGAATTGACTATCCTCTTCATACCATAGAAGTTTTCCGAAAATGATGCACCTAGAAATTTCTGAGAGACTTGAAATACTTCGCCGCATTAATAAAAGAATTTGTGCGACTAACCATATTTCTTGAGGTACTGGTTTTGAAGCAAGAGATCAAAGAGCAAATACAGTTCGTCGTAGTATCGATGAGCCGTTTGGAATCGATGTGAGTACATGACAGCGAGGAACTGAGCCCAGCTTATATCAGCACTTCCAAGGGTTATAAGAGCTTTTAGTAAAGGGATATACCTTGATGACGTGCCCCATGGCTGGCTTTAGCGCCGTCATAAGGCTTTCCTGGGAAAGAACGTCAAAAATGGATGGCTGATCTCTAATGGCATGCTGTTTGCCCAAGTGAGAGGCACGTAAGGTGGAAACAACCATCTGGAATGTTGGAATCTTCACGGCTTATGAGCTCCTTAATCACCGATACGAAATTCAAATAATGCAGTCTATAGAAGGAAGAGACGGCTCGAATTAGCCACGCGAATAACATTCAAATCTTACTTCACCTGCTTTCAAGAAGGAAGTAAAAAGCGAATTAGAATGATACGAACACAACCAGGACTGTGGTAGGCCTAACCATGAACAAATAGCTGAGAACTTATAAGACGCCAGAAACATTCTGTATTTTTGATTGGTCTGTTACTCAAATTCAGTTCTGTCTTTGAGCTAACATTTTCACAGGAAAAAAGGAAAACTTTCAGAACTAACTCCTACAAAAGCTTTTCGATGTAGCAATGTTACCGTTATGCAGCAGTTTTCGATGTGAGTGCTGCAGTGGCTCAAGCACTATGCCTTTAAGTTAAGATATTTTGAAAGAATTTGGCTAAATGTTTCGCAAGATTTTTAGCTTGCTTCATTTCCCAATTACGCTGAAAGAACCTACAAGCATGATTCGTATTCATTCACTCTGCCGATTGGAAATCTAAAGCACTTACGCTGGACGAGTCATGGATTTCTCGAAGGACAAGTAATATGGGTGCCACAGCATTGGTAAACATGATAGATATTCACAAGAGCGTTGCGCTGAAGTGTTAAAGAAGGCTCATTTAAAATAACAACGCAAACAACAGACACTTTATTGTTAACAGGATCACCTCAAAGGCAAACTATGGCAAGCTCCTTTGTGCGCATTGCAACCCTTATCATGGTCACCGGTTGATTCGAACATGGACGCAAATCGATTGGGTGCGGTGGAGTGGAAGGAACAGCGACTAGAAATTTATCCTGAAGGTCAACGGAGATGTGAACATCCTTTGAGAAGAGCGGAAGAAGGAAGACGGAGCAGGCTCATAAAAATGTGGAACAATTCGTTCGCAACTTGTGGAACGAGAGCAGTAGAATGATCCCTGCTTTTCTATAAAACCAGATTTGATGAGTCAGTAACTCAGGTACTTTTCTACCTTCTCAGTAGGCCAAAGCAACCGGACCAATGCCGTCTAACTTCTTCGCAGCATGTTGTGCGCAGATTGCCAAAGAATCTATCTGAGATGTTTTGCTGTTTCAAAGAGAACCGCATGGAAATCCAAGGATATTCGCAATCTGTCGCCACTATAATACACACTTAACATTTTTTATGAAATGTGCCCTATGAAAAATTCGATATGACCATCCTCCGTTCAAGTGAATTCCTGCGCAGTAGCTCAAATCTGTTGTACCACTCGGTGACCGTTCCAATGTTTGCAAATTGAATTAGGATTTGTGCGCGGCACTGTATTGCTGTAGGGCTAGAATAGGTGCTGATTGATTCGTACTCCAACTCCGCGAATTCATCACTTGACTTTCTATGCAACTCTCATGACCGAGGTAACTGTGATATTTGCAAGCAACGGCTGGTCCTTACCGTGTCTTAGTAATGCTAGTTTCAGCTTCTATCGACCGTGGTACCAGCTCATGTGGTGTGTCGCGAAGCTTTATTACGTCTACGCAATAAGCTGCTTCAGCGTCGGAATTTATGCAAAATTACTAAATTTGTGCCAATTATCACTTGGTTGCCAAAATATGACTGGACTCAGTCATTTTTTGGCGATCTTTCAGGAGGGCTCACTATGGCTGTGTTCTCGGTGCCACAAGGCAAGCATGACCAGATATTTGCATTATTTCAAGAGAATTTTTGTAGGCATTGCTCTTGCTGGAATCACTGGTGTTCCGCCTGTTTATGGCCTATACACAGCTATATTCCCTTCTTTTCTCTATATCTTTTTCGGGACATCGAAACATAATGCACTCGGCAAGTTTCATCTCTACTGACAAAGTGCACTTGTCTTTAGAGAAGACTCGGATTGATTTGAATTCAGGAGGCTTCGCTGTACTCTCGCTAATGACACACACAGCTATTCAGAAGGTGATGATGAAAACAGCAATTAGTTATAACAGCACTTCGTATGTTAATCATACCCTCACTGATTTTGTGATAGATAATGGGACCATGTAAGCCAATTTAGCTGTCAAACTTCTGTTTTTGATTTATGCCTGACTGAGCAGGAGTACCAGCTCATATTTCTCTTGAATATCCCCCTTCGTGCAATTGAGCTGTGCACAATTGTGAATTTTAGATTCAATAATGAGACTGCAATGGTCGAAGAGGTGACTACTGAAATGTGGACCGACGGTGTGAGCCCCGTTAAAGAGATTCATGTTGCCACAACCATAATTTTTTTTGCCGGCTGCATTCAAGTAATATATTATTATACTGTGTGCCGTCTTAATGAGATTCCCTTCAGGTGCTTATGGGTGTTTTTCGCCTACAGTATCTCACAACAGTTTTTTCCGAGCAAGTTATGTCAGGCTTCGTTGTCGGAGGAGGTATACATGTATTTTTTGCACAAATTGGTGATACTCTGGGCATGAAATTGCCAAGAAGAAGTGGGCCAGGCTATCTATACTATGTACGCTTTTCTGCATTGCAATATGATAGGCTGTATAATTTTGCTTGGATTCAGAGAATATGCGACCTGATCGGAAATATACATAACATACATTGGCCAACATTGTACATCTCGCTATCATCACTGGCTTTTCTTGTATTAGGAAAAGAGTTCATCTCTCCTTGGCTTAGCACGGCTTTCAACTTTCCAGTACCCTTCGATTTGGTTTTGGTAAGTCCTAGTACGTACTTTTATGTCGGAGTACACTCAGTGGGTGAGATTAATCTTTACTATACTGATAGAGAAGTGGGTAATGACCGTCATAATTATCAGAGTTTTTAGCAAAACATGTGAGAACTGCCAACTCGCCTAAGGGGGAGGATTGATTAGCTCTTCTCGTCAAATTAGTTTAACCTTACGTTCTCATCATAACAGAATGACAATGTTCAAAGAGCTCATATTTTGTAGTATAAAGTCAAATATCATCGCAGATACGTTTCCGAATAAATTCTATGCGGACTTTACGGGCGATTTTAATTCAGGCTGTAGTCGGCATAACTGCCACGAATTACGCAGAGTTATCGAGAAGACACAACATCAAGGTTCTAGGAAATATCCCAACTGAGTTAGTTAATTTTTACAAGAAGGCGTCCTCTAACCTTTTTTTAGTTTTCACTATCATATGCTGCTTCCAGGTTCCCCCCACCCAGTCTGCCACGATTTGATCTCATTCAATACATTGGGGTAAATGTAGTAGCTATAGCCTTGACTGCAGTCGCCATACATCTGACTGTGGCAAAGATTGTCGAAAAAAGATACAAATATAAGATCAACCATGGACAGGTGGTTCAGCCCTGCGAAACTTTTCATTACAAAGCATTTGTCGGTTTTCTCTTCAGGAGCTGTACGCTCTTGGCTTTGTCAGCGTTCTATCGTCTTTCTTTCCCGTGTTTCCAGTAACTTCAGGGTTTGCACGAAGTGTTGTAGGAGCTGCCGTGGGTGGAAGTACACAGGTGCATTCTCATATTTAGCGGTCAAGATTGGTGAAATTTGCTTGCAGCTTACCTGTCTCTTCTCGTCGCTTGCACTTGTTTTGGTTATTTTGTACATCGGTCCAGCCTTAGAATACCTACCCCAGTGCATTCTGTCGACTATGATTATAGTATCGCAAAAGGTTATATTTGCAAAATTTGCGGAGCTGCGAGAGCTATGGCCCGTGTTTAAAGTGGACTTCGTAAGTGTCCAAAGAAGTGTAAACTGATAGGTAAGCTTCATCTTTAGACAATATGGATCATGAGCATGATTCTGACAGTCTGCTTCGATATGGGTGAGGGACTTCTTCTTGCCACCGGTTTTGCCGTATCTACAACTATCATCAGAATGCAGAAGTTTGTGAGCTCCGGCCTATTTCAAATACACTTAGGGTATAAAGTTCAAACTGTAACTATGCGTACATTGATTGCTAAACTGGCACTGAAAAGTCAGCTTCTCCCAACGCTACTTAGTGCTGCTTGAAGTCTTGGTCGTTCGACAACTGGAATGGCCAAGGAGAGTAATTCGAGTCAACCAATTCCAGACCAAAATGGCATTTCCTTTCTCGCGATTGTGACTCGGGCACCTTCAAAGAAACTAAGAAGAAAAACCTAGAATGTGTTGGTGGGAACGTCTGTGTATTTCGCATGGATGCGCCTCTAATATTTACCAGTATCGACAGATTTACCACGGTTAGCAAAGATTAGTAAACTTGACGTTGAAAGATTAGCAGCGCTATTTTAAGGCTGTTTGGCAATCAGTAAAAACATGGGAGCGGACGAAAGCTGAATCGTTCATAACAATTGATCAAATGAATTCAGCTAATACAGAAGATATCTTTGAGAAGGTAGTTTTCAATTGCTGGATTTGATCCGGTGAGCACAAATTTGTTGTTCAGAAAGCTCGTGCAGCACACCGCGGAGCAGCAAGAGAAGATCGCTGCCGCCTCGTTATTGACTGTGGAGGATTTCCCTATGTTGATTATCTTGGACTGAGTACGCTAAGGACGGTATAGTAGTATAGTACTATGTTTGCAGAGCAGGCATCTTCAGAATCAAATTTTTTTAGGTTGTTGCAGATCTCATTGCCGCTAATGTCCAGACGTTTTTGGTTGTAAATAAGGGTAAGTTTGTACTCATACCGCAAAGAGTATAAAATCGCCGAAATTACTGAACACCAGAATTTTCCGAGCATGAGATTGCTAGCGCAAAACGAACATATTGTTTGTCTCAAAGATGCGGGACTATGTATCGTCGAGTCATTCGTAGCTTAATATGTGAGCCTGCACACAAAGCGTTTCAACGGACGCACCTTTATCATTAACTTCTCGATCAAATCTTTTCTAGCGTAACATAGTATAAAAGTGTATACCACTGACTAATTAATATCCTTTCAAATTAAAATAGGCAAAGAAACAAGGCGAACTCGCTGAAATAAGCGGTTCCAATCTTCTAAGTTCGTCAAATAGCGCGTATGGTGTGCAATACGCATATTAAGTTACAAATGACTCAAGCATATGTGAGCATCGCGTCCCATTTCGATGAGAGCGCTACCTTTTCGTTGATTAGTCGGTTGACAGACTCTACCATGGATTCCATACTTCTTCAATTACAGCCGACCTTCGCAAACTATTTGAAGTCACCGATTTCTACGAGACAGTAGATAAGGAACGAATTTTCAAGAGATTGGAGGATGCAGTCGCATACGCTGAGGAGAGGTATAGGAACTGAATTTCAATTCTTCTAATACTGAAATATTGTATGGTAGAATGGTAACCGAAAGGAAGGAAGAAGCTTTTGAAAGAAAAGATGAGGAAGAAGAAACGATCAACTGTGATATTGAAAATCTCGCTGAGTGAAAAAAATCCTGCATCGGTTACACCTACATCCTCATTGCTCCGCCCCTAGCCCTTCACCCAATAACGACCGTCGTAACGACCTATCAAAACGTGTCGCTTCGTGAGCGTTGTCGTGATAACTTCCGATCATCTGAATTAATCTCTAATTATTCTGTTATGAAATACGCACCCTTCTATTGTTTGTCGTCCTTCTTTGTATACGAGTACAATAATTCAAGTCTGTCTCAAATTCGTTGTTGATTGAGCAATGCAAATCAATGTTTCCCAACTCACACGATTGATCATGTACCGGAAGAAGAAAGAAAGCAAATACTTTATCAAGATAGAAACGAACAATATCCATATGAAGTCTGTATTATTAATTTTGGCTGGTTGTAGACAGAAATGCAAATCTGTAATCAATTCACCGTACTATAATGTCAAAAGCAAATCTTTCACGCTGAATGTCATCAGCTGAAACATATCATCTTTCAGAGAGCACATGCGGTTACCTAATAGAAATCCCCGAATTTTGTCGACATCTGGCCCAAATAACCGAAATCGAAAATATATGAAGAGAGGATATAAAACATACATGCTGTAGGATCGTACGATAATCTCTATATATTATGCTTTGCAAAGAATTTCTGATAAATAATAAGTAAAACTAGACAGAATCACAGAACATTCATAGTAGCGTCGTACGCTGGGCATACTGCTGCGAAGTAAAGAAGTTAGGCAAAAGCCAGATTGTTTAGTTATGCCCGAATTGATAGATTTTATTGGAAGAACAGGCAAATTTCCAAAAAATTAGGGTTGCATAACTAAGTGGTCTGGCCTTGAGAATGGATAAATCATTGTTAAGCGAAAGGATGGGAGTCAATGGCTATACCACTTTGCACACTCACATTTCCCGCCTAATCTTCGCGCCATTTTTTACAAATTTCTTCGGGATAGAAAAAATTTGAAGTCCACAAAAACCTTCCAAAATGGCAAAATGGGTTTGCTCCCAAATCTGTGCAAAGTGGCATATACGCTGAACCCGAAACACATAAATAGCACAATAAATAAGGAAAACAAATACTATAATGCTCCCGAAATGAAACGCTGTAGTACACACAAACATGTTCTTCATAAAAGAAAAAAGGCAATGGGCTGACAGAACATCACAATATGACAATATGTTATGATTGACCACAGAATAAATGACTTGTGTACAAACCCGAACACACTTTTCTGAATGTGAACGAGAAAGTATGCGGACATAATTGGGGGCTAGAGAGAGCAAAGCAAATTCAATGTGCGTAAATGAATGAATGTGATTGGAAGGTGATGAACGACAAGACTTAAAAGTAGATACAGAAAGGATGAGTAAATATGGTGTGAATGTGCAGACATGAAAAGATGAGAAAAAGTCACTCGGCTTCAGAAAAGGCGAAAACACTGGAGGCGATAGGCTCTACATGAAATTAGACCAACGCAGGTATGTACACATAAACATAGATGATTCCACCGCAATTTTACAGTCAGACAGAAAGAGAGAGAATATGGAAAGTGTCAGAATCTTTGATGGTACAATTAGAAAAAAAGGAGTGGGTTCGCCAACTACCTCAACAATTCATGATAGAGGGGGAGTTCATTGAATTACAATCGCGACTTAGAGCCGCTAAAACCATTACTCTTCGAGAGTCCTAATTCAAGCGCCCTCATTTTCTAACATGATTTGTTCATATCACCGTTTGCGAGTCATGAAATTTTCCACAATAAGCATTATGTAGTAAGTACTAATAATTATAGAGAAGTGTCACACTAAATTCGATTGACAAATAGTTAGCCTAACGTGTTGTACGTGGTGATTCTATCGAGTTCACCGTATCATCTCTACTAACAGCGTTGGGTGGAACGTACAGGTTGAACATAGAGTCGAAAAATAGCGCCATCGTGAACGAAACCACTATGAACAGGACCTGAAGACAATTTTTTTCAAGTTGGCAAGACTGCTCAAACAAGTATGAAAAAAATGGAGATGTGCGGACGCAGAAAGATTGCTGAGGTGCTGCTATATCGCTGAACTGCGGAAAAGAGCTATACAGTTCCACGAGGATCCGCTGCTATCGATGGTAAAGGAAATGGCTCAAAAACACAGCCGATATTCCCAGAAATCATTGAGGGGACATCGAGAAAGCATCTGCTCAGCGTTTTGCCTTCATGAGGACTGATTGCAAAATGTTTCATGCAAAGTCCAGAATTCAGTTTTCGAAAGTGACATCCCAACAGATTTATTTAGAAAAAAAAAATCCGCGCGTTTTCTGGTTTCTTTTCTTGCATAGGTCCATTCACTTACCACCATGATCGTAGTCAGACTGCACTGCATCGTCCACCAACGTACTACAGGAATTGTATCCACTTTCTTCTCCTGGACTGGCTGAAACTCGAAGTCCGTCGGTTAAACAGCAAAGTTTGCAAGATTAACTAACCTGAACTTCGTTATCCAAGGGAAGGTTTGCCATGTATACTATAGGGCTGGGAGGTGATGAGATCTCATTGTTTCCCTCCGGTCTTACGCACATTACCCGAGCCTGTACAGCTGACGGATAGTCAGAAAGGCGAAGAGTGCAGGACGGTAGAGCGCCTTCATAAACCTGGAATTCCCATCATTACCGCGTCAACTTGAAACAATAATTCTGCCTACCGTCATCCACTTTGCATTGTCTATTGAACAATCTACGGCTTGTAAGCGATAGAAACACTTTTTAGTGTTTGGTTTCATTATGACAGACGACCATTCAAGTTGATAATAACCATCTCCTACAAAATTGCATATGAGAACCAGGTGCTACCGCGGTTCTTCCAACAAGAAAAAACAACAAACCGCTTGGCGTTGCCGTTGGTGGTCCTTTGACCGCAGGAGGTGGACTAAGCGCTGTGCGGAATGTGTATACCGACGACCATGGTCCGGCGCCAGTATGACTAAAGAAGAAGCAGTGAAGAAAGATAAACAGCAGATGAGACGTTATTACATGTCGACCTCTGGGAAAGCAATTTTCATATAAATTTTCAGAATTTACACCACTAAATAGTTCGATTAAAGCGCCTTTTTCTCTCTAATAAAAGCGTGCAGGAGTTTGTAGGGTATCTTCTATAGTTTTAAACTGAACACCGCAAACTGAAGGAGACTATCCCTCCAAATTCAAATCCTTCTGCCCATCTCCTGGTATCAGGAGCATAATGTAGTCCCGGGCTGCAAAAGTTGGATTACCTATTCTTTGATATATGAATGAAGGAAAACAAAGACAGAAGGAGAAAGAAAAGCGAAAATTCTCGCAAACTGATGTACATAGTTGTCCAGTCAGGTTGCAATGTACCCTATGACTAGGTCAAAATAAACTGTCGGAAAGCAAATTTAGCTTCAACACTTCATTTTGATGATAAAATCCCAAATAATAACAGCAAATGAACATCCCATCATCAGTCTTTCTAATGTTTTAGGTGCGGCTGCATAGCAAGTCGCATAGAGCAGCATTCTTGCGAGAAGTGCAATTCAAGAATAACTGTTCGGCTAGACTACTCTTGTATATTTTGGTATAAAAAAGTGAAAACCACGAAAATGTCGCTGAAATGCGTGTGCCCTTTGAGCATCGCAATAGCTTCCGATCGAATGGTTACCTTATCCCACAGGCAGCTTTATTGCATCTGATACAATGGATTTAGAAAGAAATTCATAATAATGATAGTTCAAAACCAAGTATCAAGTATTCAGAGACCAAGAATCGCATCGCAACACGCGATGGACGTGAGCGACATTTATATGCCCTTGCCGAAACTGTCTTCATGTCGCTCATCCTAGGCTCTACTCTCTTCGGCAGACTACCTTCAGATCTGGAGTGTGGACCATGAATAAGCGTGGTTGAAACTAGCCAAGAAGTGGTTTCCTCTTCATCTTCGATTCTATATCAGTTTTCATAAGAAGAGAAAGGAGATGAACTAAGCTAGAACTAAAGGAGGGGTCGATTATGACTTGTCGCATGCCACAACATAGATTGGATCCAACCCCCCTCCCCCTCCTTTGCTCGATCTTGTTCTCGACCCATACTACACCCCAGACTATAGCAATTTGTTTTACACGCTGCACAGTATAGATTATGGAAAGCTAACTGTCTGAATTTTACCCTTAATCAATAACAAAATAGAATCTCTGTGCACTGACCGATCCACGCTTCTGATTTGGAAACGGTATTCGGTGTTTTCTGTCAGGCCCTTGATTCGCGTGCTGCACATGTCCCCTTCGTAAACCGAGATCATTTTGTCTCCTTCACCAAGTCGTACTACTCTGCACGTATACATTATAAGCTACAAACGAGGGACGGTGAAAACAAAATTACTTGTAGGACAGAAGAGTGTGTGTTGATGCTGGCTTCCACCTCAGTCGAAGACTTGTAGCTTCACATTCGCATTCAATCCTGCAAAAATTTTCTCAACGGCTGAAATACGTAAAGTTCTTCTCAATCTAAACTTTCCGCACTTTGGTGGATCCGGTGGCGGTGGGCGCGTACGCCCCGTGATCGCAGCAGCGATACCACAACCAACAGCATTTTCAGCTGACAGCTCCACCCTGTAATCTGTGTCCGGCTGCAGATCGGCGATGCGGTAATCACACTGTCCGGAGCTGGACGGTGGAACGATGGCAACTTCACGGATCATCTGGAAAATCACCGTAGCAAACTTCGCATGACATTGATCATGCAAAGCTGTACCTCGCTTTTTGTTTCTACGCGTAGTAGGTACTGAGTGATAGGCGATCCGCGACAGTCAGGCACAGACCAACGGAGTATCAGTGCCCGAGTTCCATCTGATTCGATTGCAACTCCTACAAGTGTGAAAAATGTTTCAAATCCAATGAAAACCAAAGCAATTAAAACACATGGTAACGAATGATTGGAATAAATCTTGTGTTGACGTTGATGAGACATCTCATTTATGACTCGAAACTGAGGCCAAAACAGTGAAAAGAGGGCGTACCGTCAGGCTGAGCTGGAGCACCGCTACGAGTTGTGAAAACAAGGGGCTGTGAGAGTGACGATTCCCCTCCATCATGGAAAGCAGACACCTACAAAAGCTCTACGATTTTCAAGATATTCGGTGAAAACCTGTGGTGTTCTAGTACCCTGCAAGTGAACTGCTTGGCATGTTCCAGGAGCGCTAAGGAGTACTGGCATTCACCAAGTTCGCTAATAGTCTCTTCGACCTCATGGCCGCTAGTGATCTGACTGCAGTGGACACGATAGCGAATGTCCGGTGATGATTCTGGTGCCTTCCACGTCAGCAACGTCCTAGAAAAAGCGTATTGTTACAAAAACTGTGCATGGGAGCTACTACCACGTTCCTCGTATTGTGCTCACCTTTCATTGTTGATCGCCAGCTCGGTAGGAGCATTGGGAGCATCCCTAGGTGCATTTCCGCCAGTCACTGGACTCCAATCTCCCTCATAACGTGCTCCATCTCTAGCAACCACAACAGCGCGGATCTGAAAGAATCATACGACGTACTTCACAGATATTTTTCAAGTACCTTACCTGAACTTCCACGTGCTGTCGACTCGTCAAACCTTCGATTCGACAGGTCGGTTCCGCTCCGGAATACACAATTTCACTCTTATCATCAATTCGACGCACCTCGAACATCAGTGTAGCCGTTGGTGGAATCTAATGGGGAACAGTAAACATAAGTTCTATTGCTGTAACACAAAACACGATCTTACCACGATCTTTGGCACGGTCCATGTTACACGTATGGCACCTTTCCCGTAGCCTTCAATGATGGCGGAAGGCATCTGCGGCGGCTTCGTTATGACCGGCTCAGGTTCACGAACAAGGGTGATCACCTCCGAGAAATCGCTCTAAATTAGAAATAAAATGAGATGAATCTCCCGCATAGTTCACATACCGCAACATTCTTTCTATTTATGGTCTGTACACGCAAATGCAGGATGTCTTCATCGGTGACAGTGTGAGTACTGAGGGGACCACGATACAGTACCCGGAAGCGAGTCGGTTGATTTGCGGTCGATCCTTCCAAAACGTACGTAAACTCTCGCTCCCTGAAATTAGCTATCTTGACCAGCATGAAAAAAAAAACTTCCGTGTAAGCTTCCACAAAAGACTTTCCACCATTTACTACTACTGCTTTAGGTTTAATCGCGAAAAACATCCGGTAATGTTTGTAGTTCTGTACTTGTAGGCAAATGCTTGATAAAAGAATAGGAGTCATCATTTGTATAGTAATGCGCACCAAATCATTCCCTGAGCAGAGTTTCTGCAAATTTCGAGATTCAAAGTTCTTACCCTATCACCGCGCACAAAACTTATTAAGGCAGGAATAGCCAGAACACATTTTTCTTGGAAATTTTGTTCGTAACTTTCACAGTTTCCGTGCGCACATTCCAAATTAGCTCCGAAACTACTCACTTTGCACCGGGGCACTTCCATGAGACGTCGAACTTATTACGTCCCCGAGCGACGGCAAGAGGCTTCGTAGGCTCTAACACTCTGTCTGGCGTACCCCGTCCGGTCATTCTAACATAAGTCCAGTCAGAACGTGGTGAATCACCCTCAGCATTGTGGGCAATAACACGGAAGCGATACTCGGAACCGCTAAATGTAACAGCATGGATCGTCAAGCGCGTTAGAAATGCGCGGTAAACTCACGCCTTCAGATCTACGATCTGTGCGTTTGCGCCAGCAACACGATCTTTTACTATAGTGATTGCATTCGGTCCACCAGCAACATCATGCATTTCAACCTGAAGATTCAAACATAAAGCGTCAAATGAAGTCTTTTACTCTGCTACTGTCTGAGTTATCAAGTACCGTGTAAGTACACTCGGGATTGTGACTCCAAGCCAGCTTAACGCATCGTGCATTTACAGAAACAACATTCGGCGGTGGTGGAGCAGGAGGGGGACAGTCGCTTCGAGTTGTCACCACGATAGGTGCTGCCTCGGAACTTTCACCGATCCTATTCGTGGCAGTCACACGTAGCCTGAGAATGATGTGATTTTTTGGAGTTTTGGGGATCTGGGGAGGGGGGGGGATGGGATAGAGGGAAGCAAAATTACCTGTATGTAGTGGCTGGTCGAAGGCTTGTTATTCTAGCTTCACATGACCTTCCCTCCCAAACCTTCTCGCCGATTTCGTCCAAGGGCTGAAAAGCGTATCTCCTCATCCTGGTCTTTTCCATGACAGATCGGTAACTACTGACCTTGATGATGTAAACTGTATAGTTGATGATGCTGGCCCCATTGTCATTTGGCGGTCGCCAAGCGACAACGAAATGGTCAATGCCCCGAGCAACGCACCTGAAAGTTCAACATACCGAAGAGATCGAGCCTATGATGCGGCCAACCCCTACCTGAACATGAGAGGAGCCTCTGGTCGCCCCGGAGCGGTTTTGAAGCAGACAGGCTGGCTCGGTTCCCCAATCAACCCACGTTCTTCAAGACATGCCTTCAACTGTACATAGTAATCCGTGTTTGGACGTAATTGGCACAGTCGCAACTTATTGCCAGTCTCGGTTTCACATCTGAAACAGGCCTTATTACCTTTTTTAAGGCTTCCTGACTGAAGGCTTCCTACCGATAGGTGCTTACAAATCGGCCATGATTCTCAAACAACACAATTTGATATGTAAATTCAGAAGCATCGATCTGCGGAAAAGGTCCTCCAGGTGCCGCAGCCTAAACCGTGCTATATTCGGGACAACTGGGAATCACAAAACAACAGAGCTCACTTCAGAAGTGTCCAGTTGTTGCCAAGCAATATCAGCTTCCGTAGGGCCAACCCGCACGACCTGTGGCGCTAGAATTCGCCCGAGCATCTCACGAACTTTGTCCCATTCCTCGCCATCAATATCGGTTTCCTGGAAATAGTAAAATTTTGTTCTTCCACGGCAAAATTACTATATTCGATCTCTGAGGCGACAGCAAATTGCTGATATTACTAAATAGCTCCATTTTAGAGATCAGAAGCTAGCTTCCCACTGCCACCCCCCCCCCCCGCCCCAACCACCCTCGATCTTCCCGTTGGGTGTGCATAAAGTACAAAAAAAAGCGCTATTTGTTTAGAAATCGTGCGTGACCGCGTGTTTCTCCATCTAGGGCTCAAAAAAAAACCACGACGACCACGACTGATTGATGATTTCTTTCTTCGGAGTGACACACCTGTTCATCGTTACGCGATGAAGCGGATGGAACTAGGTCAGGCATTGTCAGCTTGCCACTGTGGGACCATTTGCGGTTGACGGTGTAAAGCGCTGGATGGAATGGTGGAGCGACCAACGGGGGAGATGAGGCGATTCGCGATGACATAAAACCCTGAAAATACAATAGTGAGCCGAAGATCTTTCATGAGTAAAAAGGTGCGAAGACTGCACTCGCCGAGTTCGCGGCATTTGGCGGCGGGAAACGAGGCGGTGATGGTGTCTCGGGCGAGAGGATCAGATGCCGCAGGATTCCCTGCATAAGAGGGATTCAAAACTTGATGTCTATATTTTAACAAAAAGAATACGGAAAGCAGCCCTGGAAATGTTTTGGTGATGATGGTACAAACATTTCGTAATTTGTTCAGGCAGGAAGTGAACTTTGCTCGCTTGTGGTTCTTTAAATTGAATTTTAGTTCTGGGTTGAAAACAAGAGCTCTATAGAACCGTGAAAGACTACATTTTCCCCACATTCATAGCGTAAGGGATCCAACAGATTCGACTTGAAACATCATTTTCGAGGAAACAAGGCAAATTCTAACACACCTTTTGCACAAAAGCATGAAAATGACCCACTAATACAGGCTAACATTCGCCTCTTCTGCAAAACTTCCACACTCTCAGCAGGCAAACCCAGCAGCCCTAGTACACGAATTGAACAGGACAAGAAAGCTATTCTAGACTTTTTCGTTCTCGTTGATCTACTAGTTATTCAATGAAAAATGCACATGCGCTCGCTACCTATGCTCCTGCTAAAGTTGTGTTGTTCGATTCTGGCTTGTCCCCTCTATTAAACTAACACCCCTTATCATGTTCAAAAGTAGCCTTTTGCGTTAGTTGCGCAATTTATTTTTCACAGATAGAAGGCAAAAGATTAGACATGGTATTTTGTTTTTTGTGAAGTGACTGTACCTACAGTAGCGCGGTGACATGCTAGCGCAATGGACGACTATGATGAGAGTTGAGGGGAGAAATCTGCATATATTGACAGGTTTTCTCAGTCAGGGTGGAAAGAACCAAGATAAGAATAATTTCGGACCATGCAAATTACAAATTTGCAGCACGAAAACAGACAGGCATATTCGACTGAACTTGCGCACCTTAAGGAGATACCAGACGCAATGCAATGACAGTTATTTCATATGCAAAGTTGTAGGTAGAGCTCTTACAATTGGTCTACGAAAGACTGATGTGAACAACGTATTCTAAACTATGCTGTCGGGTTTCCCGTCTAAAAGTGGAGTATACTATATAAGCTACAGATATACAGTAATTCGTAAATAAAAAGTACAATGTAGTAATCTGCATTGTGTGACTAAAGTACTAGTGCAAGCGCTTCAGTCTGTACCTCCTTAATTGGTGAGTAATATGCAGTGTTTACTATGTTATTTTCTTCTCCCCCCCCCCTCCCAAACCTTTCCGTTAAGATTGGCAAAATTTGCCGGCAAACGGGGCTTTCATCTTACGAGCAGCATGGCACCGCCTTCAGATGACGTGCTGTGACGTCGTCATTTAGCCGAAGCTAACAACAAGCCAAAGCACACAGAGCGAGCGCGAACGCGTGGGTTGCCCAGAATGGGCAAACGCGACTTGTTGCCGATGTTGGCATCCTATAACCATCAACCATGACGACAATTCTCCGCACTCATTTCATCAAATTGTAAATTTTGCTATTGGGGAATATTCATGATTATCTAAGCCAAAGCAAATTGTAATTTTCAGATCAAAAAGGACCCTTTTTGCTGCAAAAAAGCAGGTAGCAATGAAACAGATTTTGCGTTTCCGTTACACTACGTTATTGCCTAGATAGAGATAACATTACTAGGCCTTGTCGTCAGATGTAAAGGGACATCTCAGCAGTAAGAAAGAGAGACGCGCCTTTCAAAACAATATCAGCAAAGAAATCCTTCTTTGTCAGATTTACCGCCGCTCGCTTAAAGAGACAAAGTGGGCAAGGATAGTTGGACTCAAAATGTAAGTGATTCTACTCCGGCTATCATAGAAACTGGCGACCTCACAAGAATTGAGCCAAGCAAAATAAAGGAAGAGAGGCGAAGATTGCTTAGATTCGGAGATGTTCGACGTTACTCTTTATTAGTAAACTTACTTGCTCATCGATAATCTGATGGATAACGTGCCCGGGAGGTACATGAATGGGAAGTGCTGAAGGCGACATACCACATTCACCGACCATTCGAACAGTGGCAGGTCCTGAACCGCCCTATCAGAGGATGAAACACTAAGCGGTAAAAGTAACGTACCAGTGATGTTTTGGACATCGTTACCAACAAGAATATTCAATGTCTCTCCCATCTGTATATGGACGAACAGATCATTGGAGGCACCGGGAGGTGTCGGATGTACCCATGTGGGTACGGTCATACCAGTGACACCGTTTATTGGCGGTACACAGGGTAGGGCATTGGGGCGGGGAAAGAATCCAGGCTGCTCGGACGATGAACTACCACCCTCATCGGATACAAGTTCCTGTGTCTTCATCCCTCCTAGGCCGGAGCTGCAAAAATACTTCGTGATTCGCAAAACTAGCTTCAACAAGCCAGATTTGAAAATTGTACAAAAGGTAAAAGAAGGAATGACTAATATTCGCGGGCAATGCCTAATTATCCATTATTCATCAAACTGAGCTGCACTGAAACAGCAGATTACGATGACAGAGAAAGCCCAAACAGTAATTTTTGACACAATATACATTGCATGCTTTCTTCTTTCATCCCTGAGAACTAGAACTTATGTCATAGACAAAGAGATTGTTGATTTTTATTCTCACGCGCGATTGCTTTTTCGCTTTTGAAGAATCTGTAAGTACAAGATATAGAAACTACCTGCTTCCGCAATCGCTGTCTTGCATACAGCTTGTAGAAGGGAACGAAGGAGGAGGTCCAAGGCGGGCCGCACAATACGACGCCATCACGTCATTCGCCTTGAAAAAGGGAAGCATTACATTCGTTGCGCATTTTAACATGACATTACGGAAGAGACGAAAATAGGTGTCGGATGATGATGCGAGAGCAGCTTTGCTCCTTGAGACTCTGGTGCCTATAAGTGTGAGAGCTGGCAGGTAACATGCCGGGAACGTAGCATGTAGCAAAATGATTATCTGACGGCATTTAAAATACGCTGACGTTTGTATTCACACACACAGGCGACGTCAATCATTTTGTTCTCCGCCCACGTGCACTGGATTGATGACGACAAGTCGCGACGACGACTTTGGTGGGGGGGGGGGGGGGGGGAGGAAGGGAGGGGGCAAGCGGGGAGCGCGCATGGGACGGGGAGCAGCGCACGGGCCGCGAATAGATCGAGGCGACAACGTGTGCGAGCGAGACGCGAGGTTGAGCGAGCGACGAACGCGACAGGCACGCCGCAGAGCCACAAACAAGTGGCCAACGCGCGTGTGTGTGGACACCTCAATTTAGACATGCGAGCTCTTGCGCTCCGCCTCTCTTGCACTATCACGTCATTGTTCGGTGACGCCTTTTAACAGAGCTCTTTAGGAGTGCATGGCACTAAAACAGATGAGACTGGTAATTATTCAACCACTCCAGCAGTTCTGGACATCGCAACTCCAGTCCTAAAAGGACCTAGGTATCTGAATAAAGCAGTTACCCGGTCAAGGTAGACGGTGTATTGCGCAAATGTGACGTTGTTTCAAGAGGGAGGTCTCCTCGAAAGCCTTTTCGAATAAAATTTCGACTCCCTGTCGTGAGTTCAATTAACAAGTTCAAGGCAAGTTCCTTAGCAACTGCCAAGATGGCTGATGATATGAGACGATACATGCATATATTACTTCTCATTTATTAGGAATCCAACAAAAAAAAACGAAAAGCATGCAAAATCTTAGATTAAACCGTTGATTCTTCATGCTTCAACCTGGCATCAATGACTCTTTCTCTCAACTCGAAGGTACGTACCCCTGATTCTACAATATAGAACAGGCTCCGTATCCCGAGAATTTGAATTATAGAAAATCGAAGAAGTCACAGAAACCTTCCATAGCAGAAAAGAGCCCTAGGCGCATGTACCGAAACCAGCCGACGCACATCGCGTTAGCGAGACTGGTTTTGCCTACAAAAGTTTGGCCAATGCTACAGACTACCTCACATGACAGGAAATATACAACACTTTGACTCCTGACAGCGATACAGAGGCTGAATCGAACTAATCAAGTCCGGTGACCTCGATATCAGCACAAAAAATACATTTTTGGAAAACAAAATGCGTAATATGCTTTGAAAATCCACTAAGGCAAAGGAAGTTTGCATGTGTGCACTCTAGCTACGAAATTAGTGGTTAAGCTTCAGTTTCGTTAGTGTATGATTATCAGAAATCAATCATAAAACGGTTCGGCAAAGAATAAGTTTTACATAAGCTAATCGAAGACGGAGAGTTGCATACACAAAAGAGCTACTCCAGACAAATTAGTCTCTTTGACAACTAGTCCATGAGCTTGATCTCGATAGCAGCAGAATTTTGCTTAACGCTCTACAAAACAACAGATTAAGCTATTATAGGAATCAATCAAAACGGTCTCAGCTGCTTAACAAAAAAGAAACTTGGTTGAAAGATGGAGGAAGCCTTAAATAATTCAAACATAAACAATCAGTGTAATCTTGAGCTAATTGTTACGAAAGATTATCTCTTAAAGGCAGTGTTCGGGCAAGAAGTCGAATTGATACCTTGTGCTTACTTGGGCCTATTCGCTATGCTAAAACCGAAAATCACATTGGAGAGCGCCAAAACGGCGAAAAAGGGCTCTAAAACAAGAGGGAATTTAGCATGGAGCGGAGTCACCTTCAGGAGCGATCTTCGCGGTTCCGATTTTAAATCAAGCGTTCGGATGGACGGTGGGGATGTTAGGGCAGCCGGCGGAAGCGAGATGGTCGCTCCTGAAGCTGGAAGAGTGACGTCACAGAGTGGAAGGCCCCTCCCTTGCTAATTTCCCTCTTGCGGTAGGGCCCTTTTCGCCGTTTTCGCGCTCTTCAGTGTGAATGATCGAAGTCAGCATAACTAATAGGTTCAAGTAAGCACAAAATCTCAAAATCGACTTCTTCCCCGGACACTGCCTTTGGACTACTTGTAGGCATAAAGAAGGCTGCCCTCATCCTCCGTTTTTTGCAAGCTGACCATCTTTAGAAGTGGGATTCATACTTGAACTCCTAAAAATTCGAGATTCTTGACTTCGGACGAACTAGAAAACCATATTCAGTTCCAAGCTGCAAATACTTGCTGCTACATGTGGAAAATGTCATATGAGAGACTATAAAACCTCATTTCCCGCGCTTTTGCTATGTAAAGAAGGTCCTCAAGCATATCTCCCAGAGAGCAGGATGAGAAAGGAAGAACACGATAATGTGGGTTTTTTTTCGAAGATGCTTCTTCGCATCACACAGAGTAAAAAAACAAGAAACCACTTGAAAAAGTGCACGTCTGCGAATCCAGAAACACATTGCATTGCCCTATTACGTCAAATCGGGAAACCCGTCCTATGGCACGTTAATCGTGGCGCATTGCTACGAAATGCCAAACTTGTTCTTCTTCTAATGGCGTTTTGAGCGTAAGCGTCAGATTTGACTCTGCTGCTGCTAGCCTGAAGGTGAAAAAACCATCAATGTGAAAAATTCAGAAGCTTTTCGTGCAGATCGCAGATAAAAGCACGCTGAACATAGCATGCTATGATTTCTACGCCCTCCTGCACTATTTCACCAACCGTATGTTTTGAATCGCTATAACTTACTGAGATAGCCTTCTCTGGTGTTCTACGCACAACATCCCTCCCCCCCCCCTCCATCCTTCATCCATTGTCTCTGATATCATCTGCGCTTCAATGAGTTGATAGCAGTAAGTATGTTTACAACCACAGAACTGCAGCCCTGGTTCTTCTATTTCATAACCAGTCCGCGCACCACTGTCAAAGCGTCCTGTTCCTTCACGTACACTTTTTTTTTCAAATAAGATTTTTGCTTCTGCAACCGTAGCTCTTCGCGCGCATCGATGAGACATTCATCGAACTGGAAAACAAGTTCCCATAGTGCATGATGCGTTCACAATACAAAGATTGGGCAACGATAAGACGTTCTAGGCCCCAAGCAGGGCTTTGCTCCGTCGAGAAGAGGACAGAAAATGAAAGATTTTTGTATGAAGCAGGCGTATATGACTGGGGTGAGTAAACCAATGAGTGGAAGCCTAGACCTCGTCAGCCCCGACATTTTTTCACTAATGACGATATAATGGCAAATCTATAAACATAAGTAATTGAGCTAGAAATAATTCCCCAGAGACCTCATTAAATGCAAATGGCTGGAGGATGAAAAAAACCAGAGACAAAGCACGAGCACTTTGCAGGGCTGACCGAGAACACATAGGAACGGGCATTATCAAAAAAAAGCTTTTTTTGAGCGTTTCACTTTCTAAGGAAAAGTTGTGCAAACGGATGAGCTTAAAATGATTGAAACGGCATAACAGAGATGAAAATTTCGGGAATAAAATTTTTTTGATTGAACCAAGGAAGACAGTGACATAGGTGAATATCAAAACGGAAGTTCTAAAACAATCCTTCGCATGTGAAAACTATGCAACACACAAAAATACGGAAAAAGGTTTCCAGAACTTGTCCTGCCATCAACTTCAAAGAATTGCAAAAACAAACAAACAAGGAAACTCACAAATATAAATATGGAAGCAGAAGTGCAGGATAAGATAGCCGTCACAAAAACCCCAGAGACCTTTCATCAATACATATCCGAAAGCAGAAACTAGACCGGTAATTTTACCACATCAGTGTGAGAATATGATGTACATCATATCATTTCCAATCGACTCATTTTCTTTTCGACACATTTCCCAGCGACAGCAAGTTCCGATTAAAGAGCAATAGGTAATTTGAAATCTATTTTTTTCTCTGCACCGGAAGTACACTTGCTGAAGACTTGATTTCTTCCACCTTCACCAAGACTCTCGTTCAAGAGTGATGGTGAAAAATTGCTGCTTGGGGAGCATTTCAATGCACCTTTGTACATATCCCAATCAGGGAGGTGAATTGCGGAGTAAGAGACATCTCAAAACTAGCAAGAAAAGTTAGACTATAACCAATTAGGGAATCTACAAAGCAAAGCAAAGCAAGGTCAAAATATGAGATAGAGTGGCACAACAATGCAAAGATATGGAAAACTCATAACTGAAACTTTTGTAACTGTGGGAGCCGCCTTGTACACTTGTCAATCTGTTGGACTGGGTGAACTTGAAGGGAACATAAGTAGAGGCCTGTTCGGGTTCAATCTTGCTATGTCAAGAAAAGTGATTATGCAATACACACTCATAATAGAAAGCATGAAGAAGATTTTCTTCCTTGAAAGATACAGCTAATCATCTCAAAATCTATGTGAAAACGCAAATCGCTTTTGAGTCAACATTCTATAACCCCGACTTTCAATTCGAAATGGATGTGAGGCGATAGAAGGTTGAAGCGACGATTTTTCCCGAATATTGAATGTCTTGGCACAAACTAGGCAGTTTCAAAGGCATGATGATCGCTAATGATGTGAAACATTTGTTGAACCTCTCATGTTCTGGAGAAGATATTTTTTGCTCCGAATATAGCGTGTTACTTGCATGCAAAATGTGCCAGATTTCTTGTGGACCGGTCCAGCTGGGAAGACAAAGCGAAAATAGGATTCGCAGACTGCTAAGAATTTGTTGTTGGGTATGACGCGCCGCATTTTCGTATAAATGTTCACAGCTGAACAGGGTAGAGAAAGGAAGGTCTAACTAGGCCTGGATATTCAAAGGCGAAGTCAAGCAAGAATAGCAGCAGACGCTAGGTGTGAAATTCCGTTGACAGTAGCTAATATTCAAAATGTTGATGAATGAATCATACAACGAAGCAGAACTCTACATGAGATCGATGAAGAGGCGATTGCATACAA